GAAATGTTAGCTATTGTTATTAATATTATTACCATCATCACCGATTCTTTAGAAGACGTTCGTGAGTATTAAATGAGATGATGTCTATTAAACACACAACGTGGTGTCCTTCCCATGGCAGGCACTCAATAAATGGCAGCTAACCTCGTTATTATCACCACCATCACCATCATCATTATAGTTTTCAAAGCTCTCTCACATACATCATCTCATTAGAAGTTCCCAACAACCCAGTGGTTGGTGTTATTATCTTCCTCTAATAAATGAGAAACTGAAGCTCAGAGACGTGAAGGGGTAGACACTGAGCCAGGAAGAGGCAGAACATAGGCTCGCGCTAGATTTTGTGTTCTGCACCTCTTTCCACAGCATGTTGCTTCTCCGTCAGAACATCTGAGGATCTGTTGTTTGTTAGTTTTCTCCAAATGATAGACTTTGAGTCCCAGGAGCTGACAAGGCAGGCAAACATGACTGCGTTCTTCCCTGGCAGGGCTCTGCAGACAGGAAGCTGGGATAATTGGATTCCAGCCATTCGATCTTAGGACTGCATTTGTAACCAGCCAACTGCTGATGACCAAGCCGAATGGAAAAAGCCCTGACCAAACAAACACAAGCCTCCTGCAGCACCTCATTGTTTATGCTGCAGAGAGTGAAAGTCATCAAGAGCAGCCAACACCCTTCTAATGGTTCCTATCCAAGACAGGGATGGCTTCAGCATGTGCCAGACCTTAGGCTACCGCTGGGGACAAGCGGAGGTTCCTGAAGTAGGGACATGTGAGGTGAGGAGCCAGGGCGCTTTTGAAATCAGAGTGGGTGTGCTCAGATCAGAACCGTATTTTACTTGGTTTTGGCCAAGGGCTACAACACATTTGAGCAAAATGTGCACTCAGAGTGATGTTTAAAGCATGTCATTAAGATTATAGTGATACAGCATTAGAGTGAGTTGATGACTATAAAAATAGGTAATGTTTTAAAGTTCGCTCATGAAAGGAGTCCCTCTCATTTCCAACCAACTGCAGCTTAAATCGACTTTAGCTCAGGTTATTTTAAGGCAGTAGATTCCAGCAGACTCTGTCGTTGGGCAGTAAGTAAAGTAGTTTTTCCTAGTATTGTTGTTGTAAAGATAATGAAAAGTACCCCTAAGAAGCTTCAGCTTTGACTGGATGTGTAGAGCAGAATGAATGGAAGTGCGCTTTGTACTAGGGATTCAAAGCTAGGGGTTCGTTACACTGCGGGAAGCTACTGATCTGCCTCTGACTACGGCAGTCAACTGTGACTCGTTCCTCAGCTGTTGTCCAGGACACAGAGTGGTCAGTCTGAAGAAGGCGAGAGATGACACCCAGTGGGTCCCTGTGTTGGGCCAGATGTAGTCTTCTTTCTGAGCCTATGGCATGTGATTCTAAGGTGTTAACTCAATGTTTGTGGATAAGACCCTTTTAAGCAGCAAAGAGTTCTCCCAACAATAACTAGGGTGGAGCTAATCAGAAAAGCCAAGATTCTTAGAATGTCCAAGCAGGTTGCAGGAGCTCTCCTGGTGTTTGAAGCACTCTGAGCCTTTACTCTAGGATCCCTGCTCTCTGCCGGCCTCTTCCCTCTGTCTGCCACTAAGCCTTGCCTCTTGGCTTTGAGTTTTCCTAAACACCTGCTTCCAGGTGTTAGCTAACCAGCAACCAACCCCCGGCCTGTCACATCACTGTCCAAACAACAGCCAAAACAGCTTAAATTATGCTGCTTCCTGGGTCTGTGACCTACTGTAGCTTTGTCCAAGCTGTCAGGCTGAGGCCCTGCCTGGACCGAACATGTTTGAACTTAAGGAAGGTAAAGCTGACCAGTTAGCAAGGTCTAGTGTGATCATTTAAAGTCTTCTATATTGTCTGGGCAGGGGAAAGGGGATATGTGACTTCTTTACCATTCAAACCCTCACAATGCCAACCTCTTGAGTTTGTGGTGAGTAAAAAATAAAATAATCAATGCCAAAGGGCTTTGTAAGATCTTGGTCTACGATACAAATGTAAGGAACAGTCTCTGTGTATAAAAACATAGCTTCAGCTGGGTGTGGTTTTATATGAGCTCTCTAGCCAGTGAAAACGCGAACAGCCAGAGGTCACAGGAAAACTATACCGTTAATTCGACAAGATTGATATGGACAGTGGACAGTCGATAAGGTCTTTAATACAAATTTTTAGATCTTTGAAAATCTAAATTTTTATTTTATATTAATGCGTTAAGTTACCCATTACTTCAATGTATAACATCAATTACATCTCCCATTTTTAAGTGTAGTGCAGTGCCAAAAAGTTTGTAAGCATTATATCTTCTGAGATTTTCATAAAGAAAAATCGCTGGGATTTTTTTGGCCAGGATTTGCTCACTACTTTCAGACATGTGTATAACTTACCTACATGTTGCACTCTCAAAAGTTCACTCATTAGACTCTTTTAAGGTTCATATCCAAGGAAAACAATATTGTTACTAGCGTTTAAAAGCAAATGTATAAATCAATATGTAAGAGTAGTTAAATTTTCAATTAAATCATAAAACATAATAAAACAATCTCTGTGTGATTGTGTATGCACACACACGTACCGAGTAGTAGTTATTATGTAGGTGATATGTATAATAGTTTACAACCATGTTATCCCAGATGTAATCCCAGCCTCACAGGAACACTTGGAACCACTGAGTGGTGAGTAGAGTGCTCTCAGCTCCTCTTGCACCAAAATGCCTCTTGTCCCCCAGCGTCTGAGTGGCTGGAGAATGTCTGATTTCCAGGAAAGCATGTCATGCAAACAGATGCCCAGATATTTAAATCTTCAACTGATATTTAAATCTTCAACTTATAGCCCACTAAAAGTATCTGAGTTGCTTTCTTAAATTTACACGCCAGCATATGAATGATCAAAATTGGCAGTTTTCGCAAAATATACATGGTGTTCAGAAGACAGCCTTTAGAGAGCTTTGTTCGTCAAGGATACCAAGGCCTCTCCTCGGGCTGATGAAGGACTGGTTGAAGGAAGACAAAGTCGGGGGGCCAAGTCACCGTTTAATCACATAATTGTCTTGAATTGTGCTAGCTAACATTTAATGGGCGCACGCCGGGCACGAAGAACGATGGGGAGTATGCCTTGCTTCAGTTTACACCTACCCTGACTCCCTCAGGGAGGTCCTGTCGTTAATTCTGTGTGAGGAAGGTGGGGCATCGGAAGGAGCCAGGTGTCAAGGCTGCCAAGTAATGAAGCCGAGATTAGAATTCTGGACTCTTGACTCTGAACCACCATTGCCGAGCTCGTGGTCAGTAAAATCCCTAACTGAGCTAGGTGAGTAAGTCACGGTTTCTACTCACAAGAGGCTTATAATTTATCAGGGAACAAACTATTTAAAATGCATGTGCAGGTTACATTTAATAAGCTACGTCAAGGGCTGTCACAAGGCTGCTTATGTTGTCAAATAAATTATAGAGGCAGAAAGTGCTTATGCGTGTATAAAAGAAGGACAGGGAATATCGCATTTTGAGATGGTCAGAGAGGGCTGGATGGGGAGAATGGCCATATCCACCCAACTATATTTCAAAGATTCTTCGACATAGATATATCGTAGGAGATTAGCTAAAGAAGAGAGAAGAGAGCCAAAGAAGGTATGGTCTGTGCTTTTTAACTTTATGGAATTATTTGAATTATATTGCCCTTAAAAATCCCAATTCCAAGGTCCTGGCTTTCCACCTGGCCTCTTGTCTCATCTGAAGTGGAACTTGATGTTTGGATGCGTGAGGAAGTCGGCAGAGTTAGGACAGCCTTTTAGGACCTGGAGCCCTGCAGGCGTGGAGGGGATATTTGGATGAGGTTTCTTAATGCAGGGGTTTGGGGCGGGGGGTGGTCTCTGGGAAACATGAAGGAGCCATGGATGGCTCTTCTTTCTTAGAATGGGACCCAAAGCTCGAGAAGAAAAGAGCCTCATTGCTTGCCTGACCCAGAATATGACTTTGGGCAGGGGAGGGGGGAGGTGCACAGGAAGCTAAGGCTTTTAGAAGGAAGGCTCCGTCAGAATTTAAAGGTGTGTGCTTCTGAGTCAGAGGGCCCTGGGGTCGAGTGATGGTATTCCTTCTTACACACTAGCTTATCCCCGTCACACTGCATCTAAGCTTCAGGATCCTCATTAGAAAATGGTGTTAATAGTACCTACCCCACAAAGTTGACTGAATACTATATGGGATATTGTATGTGGGGCTATTATATATGAGAATATTATATAGGATAGTTGATGTAAGGAATGCAGGATGGGGCCTGGCTAGCGACAAAGAAGAGGAGAAGGAGGGTGGCTTCCTGTTTGAACCTTGGCCGTGACCCCATGAATGGTTAACTCAGAACACTTGGTTTACGCTCTGACTTAGCTGCTAACTCGTTGGGTGTCGTTGGACAGGTAACTTTCTTCTCTGTGCCTCTTCTTTTATTGGTAAATTAAGATAGTGATCTGTGGTATGAACCTGCCAGGTTGTTGAGACTCAAATGAGATATTAGCTGTAAAAGTGTTTTTTTATTTTTCTATTTAAGTATATATTTAGTCAATATAAATAAATTATAACGTTCATTTTATTGGTTAGAATTCTTTGGTTCCTGAAAACTGAAGACTGTAAGATTTGAAATGAGACACATCTGAGTTTGGATTCAGATTCTGTCATTTGCTAGAATTTGAATACAACTTGACATCTCTAAGCCTGTTTTGTTATCTGTAAGATGTGGACAATCATACTGTGTTTTAGGGGGTTAGTGATGATTCAACATATACGTCAAATGTCTTTTTAGACATACAGTGTGGTATAACCATGTCGTGCAATAATTATGCTCCCATCCTACCCCTCCCCACCGTTAACAAACTTTGAGGCTGCTAGAATGCTCATTTCGGCTAAGGTCACCTGTCCACTAACCTCTGCGTTTTCTTTCTTTTTCCTTTCTCCGCTTCTGCTTGGCTCTCCTTCATCTGTGGCTGTTTTCTGTTTCAACTAAAAGTGGCTGTTCCTCTGTCTCCAGCTTCTTCCTGCTCTTCTGCAATAGACCAGTTTCCGTCTAACTCTGAGCGTGTCCTGTAAGTCTGCCACTGTGTTATGAGTCTGTCTATATCTGCCAACTTGCATCTTCCCACAAAATGTCCTTGGATCCTGCGTGTTCTCCTGTCCTCACTGGGCCAGGTTGAGTCCAATGGATATATCACCTAGAGTTGTTGGCAGAGACCCACCAAGCCCAGAGTTCCTTCTGGACCTTGCTTGCTATTGATCTGAAAGCCAAGGATTCCTATAATTTGGGAGCTTTACTTTATTTCCTATTCGTTAATTTCTAAATTTCATTTTGGGCTTCTTCCCAAGTCCTCTGGGTGGAGCTGAGCTCAGCCGGCGTAGTCGCGGTCCTCAGTGGTGCTCTCATCTGGGTTATCCCAGGACCCAGTTTATCTCGTATCTCGCTGGTATAACTGGTGAATTTCTTCATCTCTTTCAAACAAACTATTGTGATGGAATCCCAGTGTTGTTGTTGTTGTTGTTTTAAGCCTTTTAAATTTTTTAAAAATCTTTTATTTCGAAACACATTTCTATCTATGGAAGAACAGCACAGAGCACCCTGCATAGTTTTCACGCAGCTTCCCTGATGCAAGCTTCATGCCTAACAGCGGCACATTTATCGAAGCTGGAAAATTAGCATTTAACCCGATACTATTAACTGAACTACAGGCTTTATTTGGATTCCCCCGGTATCGAATCAGATTCTGAGTACCTTTGTTCAAAGTTATTATTTTGAACTTCCATTATTTGTTATCCTACAGTAATGCCCTTGAGAGATGTTTGAAATATTTTCCTCTTCATTCAATAGCCCCTGTGGAGTTCGCTGTGTTGATTTTTGCCGATTTTCTTTTCTCCTTGCGCACATCGACTGTCACTTTTTCCTGTAATCACCGCGTCTACCACCAGCATGGCTTGTCTCCCTTTTAGTTCTCTCATCCGGTTTCCAGTCTCTGCTCTGCTGGGTTTTGAAGAACCAAGCTTTCTAGAGCTCTATGCAAACTAAGTTTAAATACCTCGGAGTGAAAAACTGAGGAAGGCCATAAGAAAAGTCCACACCTTCCTGATGACTCCTCTCGTGATTCAGAGACCCTGAAAAAGAACAAACAAACAAACAAAAACACCTCCGTGCATTTCCGGATAGTTAAGGTCACCAGGTGCCTGACCCTGGGATAAGTGAAGTGTTGCTAGCAAAAGACTCACCTAAACACGCACGTACACACACCTCTCTGCTGATTTTCTCTTGGTGGCTCAGCTTCGCCTAAATTAATAGCTTAAGGGCAAAAAGTTGTATCCTCACAACCCAAACTGTGTTTTTTCTCCTCTCATACACATTCTTTCTTTGACTCCTTGAGACCCCTTGCTTGCTTGGGCTGCCATAACAAAATACCATAGATGGGGGAGGGGAAGGTTAAACAGTAGACATTTATTTCTCACAGTTGTAGAGGCCGGGAAGTTCAAGATCAAGGTGCCGGCACATTCACTTTTTGGTGAGAATCTTCTTCCTGTCTTGGAAACAGACACTTTCTCGTTGTATCTTCTCCTGGTGGAGCTGGAGTTGAGCCATGCAAACACTCTACTGTGGTCTCTTCCTCTTCTTGTAAGGATACTAATCTCATCAGGAGGGGCCCGCCACGTAGCATATACTCAGAGCAGTCCTTATCTTTCAAAGTGTGCCACTCCGTGCTCTTCCCCGGCTCTGCGCCTTTTCCTAGCCCGTGCCGTGCCTCTCCTGACCTCACTGCCCCTGTGTGCAGTCCATCGACAGGTCCCGTCAGGTCTGCCTTCTAAATATATCCTGAATCTGACTACTTCCCAACACCTCCACCACTACCATCCTACATCTCTGAGCCACCGACATCTCTGGACACCTTGAAAATCACCTGTAGCATGCAAAATAATGGCTATCTAAAGAGGTCCGCATCCCTATTCCCCAAATCTGTGACTTTATTACCTTAGATGGCAAAAGAGTCTTTGTAGCTGTGATTAAGCGATTCATCTTGAGATGGGGAGGTGATCCTGGATTATCCAGGTGGGCCCACTGTAATCACAAACATCTTTATAACAGAGAGGCCAGAGGCTTAGAGTCAGAGGAGATGTGATGATGGAGGTCAGAGGTCAGAGCACTGAGGCCATAGACCAAGGAATGTGCGTAGCCTCTAGAAGCTGGGAAAGAAAAGGAATGGGATTCTCCCCTAGAGACTCCAGAAAGAGTGCAGCTCAGCCCAACACCTTGACTTCAGCCCCTTGAAACCCCTTTTGAACTTCTCACCTCTACATTAAGATGATACATTTGTGCTCTTTTAAGCCAGTAAGCTTGTGATCATTTGTTCCAGCAGCAATAGGAAGCTAATACACCTAATTTGCCTCTGGGTCCCCACTCTAACCTCCTCCAGTCCTTAGCATGGTGAGCCTCACTGAGTCTTAACCCTCATCTTAGACTGGGGTGCCCCTGATTCTGCTCCCACAGCACCCCTCTCCCCCACAACAGGGGTCTTTGCACTTGCTACCTTTTTGCCTGCATCCTCCTCTTCTTTGCGTGGTTAACCTCTACCCATTTTTCAGTTCTCATCTCCGTCACTTCCTCAGTCACACTACCTTGACACACTAACCTCGGCCACATCCCCCGTGACATGCTCTCACAGCACCACCAAACGCCTCTCCTCCCTAACACTTCTCATGGCTGTGCTTTCGCATCTAACGGTGGGTCTCCCACGGTACACTGTGAGGCCCATGAGGACAGGGGCTGCGGAGGTCTTTCTCACTGTCCTGACAGCCCCAGGACATGGCACAGTGCCTGGACTGTGGCAGGCACTCAAAATATGTTTTTAAACAAGTAAGTGCCTGAATGTATAAATGCCTAGGATTTGAAAGGCTCTTTCTTCCCTGAACATCCAGAAAACACCAAGTGTGAGATTCTTGTTTCCAGGCGATGGGGCTCCAGCTTCCGTAAAACTCTGCCTTAAGGTTGAATCTCTTTAAACCCATGCACCTTATATTTTAATAATTAAAATTTATTTCCACTTTCCTATAAGGGCCCCTGTGTGAGCACTGTGTTGCGGTGAAGGGCTAGGGTTGTATGAAATACAATCTAATTATTTCCTTATAACGCCAGGCTGAACAGGCGGGGGGCGGGGCAAGTAGGAGAAGTGTGTGGCTATTATTATGCCGCTAATTGCTGCATGCAGGCTGCTTTAAGTGCGATGCTAATTGCTCAGTGAATGAATTGTAGACTCAGGTAATTACCAAACCTAATGGGGCTCCGTCATGTTTGAGTAAATTAAAGCAAAAGGGGAGGCAACCCAGCTTGAAGGGAGCTGCCTCCTGCCTTGCTGTTGCTTGGGAAACAGCAGACAGTTTTCATTTGGACTTGACATTGCCCAGGTACACTCACACATCTGGACTCTGCTTTCCACCAGTGCAGCTGTAAGACTGCAAGTAAGATCTTAACACCAAAAAAAAGCTGGAAAACTTGGGCCACTCCGGACAGAAGACAGCCTCTCTCTGGGCCTGTTTCTTTCTCTGTAAAGCCATCTTGAAGGTTTCTTTCAGCCTGATGATCAATTGCTAAGTGAACAAACATCTGATCAATTTCCAAGGCCTGGATTTCCGCACTGATTCAGCAATAAAGTACTGGTTTCAAATCGTACCTCAACCATTAAATAGCAACGGTACTAACATTTATGGAGAGCTGATACTAGTTGGCTGGTACTATTCTAAGCATTTTACGTGCATTATGTCACGTAATGCCCACAACTACCCAGAATATCTGGAGTCATCATGGAGCTAGTCTGTGCCACAGCCAGGCTTTCAACCCAGGCATTCTGCCTCAAGAGCCTGTATTCTTAACTATTTCATACGTAACTACTTCTTCAACCTTGGTAAAGTTACACTTTCTGAACCTTGGTTTCTTTAACAGTGAGATTCCCACACCCACTCTCTCTCCAGCTGTTTGCTAAGCCTCTTACAGATGTTAACTTTATTGTCACAACAAAGCTGAGAGGTTGGCGGAGTCCATTGATTTGACCAGGTCACACAACTAGTAAATGGTAGAGTCAGGACGTGACTGCTATTCTGTTTGCCTGCAGTAACATGTGCTTTCTTTTTCCCAGTATTCCTCCAATTGAGGATGTGCAGATCCCCATGAATATGCCCATAGACTTCTGGGGGTTCATGGACCCTAGTTAGAGAAACACTTCGTAAAGTTAGTCACTGTCGCTGCAGTACCAGGGTGGACCTGAATGTGACCGGAGTTCACGAGGCAATGTGAGTTTGTAAGGTGGGCATCCAGGGGATTTCAAATCTGCTCACATTATTTATTTACTATCAAAGTGAGAATACCAGATTAAAAAGTATCTCATGGAGACTTAGGAATACTTAAGCCCAGGGAATATCTCTGCAGGCCACACTCCATTAGAGACACACTGTCTTCTACTAGAGTCCCGCCAAGGAAATCTCAGACTAGTTTTTTCTTTCTGTGTGTATCTCTACCATACCGTGGTGACAGAACCCACCCAAATGGTGTAACTAGAAAACGTGTTTGTCTGCTCACCCCCAGCTCTAACAAGAGCTGCCGCCTTTCAACTGCCCTCTGGATAAAGAGAACTTCCACCCGGAATATCCGCTCCAGTCCACACCTCTTCCTGAACAACTCACTCATTAGCACATGAGAAGTAGACACTTAGGAGGGATGTGTGAAAAGCTACTATAGAGATAGGCCTGCATTTCATGGCAGTGCATCTTATGTGATCAGAAATATCAATTTGGCTCCTCGAGGTCTCTCATTCTTGGCACAATTGACATTTTGGGCCAGACTGTTCTTTGTCATGGGAGACTGTGCTGCATATTGGACAATGTTTAGCAGCATCCCTAGTCTCTACCCACTAGACGCCAAAAACACCGTTCCTGCCAAGGCCACCAGAAATGCCTCCTCAGTGTCCCTGTTGAGACCCACTATTCTAAACGTACACCTTGTCCGTGAGCTGTGTGAGGACCAGCTACGCACGTAGGTGTTGGGCATCAGATGGGCTGTTTGATTGGCTGTATCTTCACATGTTACCTGTTTTTCCTTGGGCAAGTCACTAAAGGTATGTGTCATTTTGCTTAACTGAAAAATGAACATACTGCTATCTCTTAACTGAAAAATGAACATACTACTATCATAGGGCTGTTGTGAAGATTAAATAAGGTAATTCCTGGAAAAGGTTTAGTACAATCCTAGTCTACACTGACCAATCAATACAAGTCAGCAATAAATTATTACAATTCAAAGCAAAGCATTAATGTTATTCATGACAAACCACCACCTTGTCAACATGCGATGCCAAATAATGGACTAGTGTGTGTGTGTGTGTGTGTGTGCACGTGTGTGTGCACACTTGTGTTACTGTATGTGCTCACACCAGCCTCAGGGAAGTGAGTGGTGATGATGCTCCTAGACTCTCTGAAAATTTTATTAGAATGACTGCCAGATGCCAGAATCTGGGTTACTGATGACAAGATCCACTTGCAACCAAGACTGATTTGAATGCATTTAACATATTGAGTGCAACTGTGCAATATTGCAGAAAAAGAATAAACACTTGTCAAGTAGTCAATTTCACTGTGCTGCTCAGAGTCAACTTGCTGTTTGATTCATCTAATAGTTTTACTGTTCCAAATGTCACCAAAAGGAATCAAAGGAACAAATCCAGTTATACTGTCTTTCAGACTCTGGGTGGTTCAGTAATCTCCCTCAGCACCTTGATGTTGCTGAACCTGGGATCACCCTAGTAGAGGGAACATAGCATATGCAGGGGTAGCTTGAGGTGCTTCACAGGGTCCATTCTGTTGAGTGACAAGAGAGCCCCAGGCCTCGCTGGCAGAAAAGAAATCAGAGTTCTAGTCCCAGCTCCGTCACTCACTGTCGGCACAACCCTGCTCCTGCTGTTCCCTCCAGGCCTTCAGTTCCTCACCTTTAAAATGAGCAGTTTGGATGCGTTTCTTTGGACTTTCCTGTCGATGAGGTATCACCCATCCAGCCCCACCTCAGCACGCTCTCAGAAGCATGCAGTGACCGGAAGTCAGGAAGGGCCGGAGCGCTCTCTTCGGTGTATATGAAGGATGTCTGTTGAATTCTTAGGCTTCCTTTCCTTTCTCCCTAGGTACACAGTTCTTCACAGCGGACATCACCCGGAACTCGAGAAACTGCCCATACACAATGACCCGGAATCCTTGGAATCATGCTTCTGATTGAGGATGCCGTTCACAGCTAAGCCATTCATTCCCATGCGTGTCTGCCTGAACGGGACACCTGCCCCTCTCCTGACCCTCGTCACCACCAGGGAGGCGCGAGACAGTGGGGCCCAGGGCCCTGGGAAGGTACACGGAGACCGGTGTCGGACAGGACCCGAGGCCAGAGTGTGGAGGCTCTCAGAGCTGAGAAGAAACTTCAGGCATCGTCAGATCCAGCCTCGTGCCCAACGCAAGAGCAGCATCCTCCACAGCACCCCCGGAAGTTGGTCAGTCTTTGCTCACACACATCCAGAGACAGGAGCTCACTACCTCCTAATGCAGTTCCTGCTGTCGTGGGGAAGCTTTAGTCATAAGGAAGTTCTTTCCTTTGCTGGAACACACATCTGTCACTGCTCCAGCTCCCATCTGCGGCCATGCCATTGGCCCCCTCTTCCCCGCGAGAGCCTTTAGATATTAGAAGACAATGATCTGCCACCTACTCACCCTTTTGATTCTTCTTTCTAAACTAAACAGCTCCAGTTTTCTCTTTATTCTGCCATCTGCTTCTGGATGTGCTTTGATGGGTGAATTAATCAAGGCTCTTTAATGAGATTAGGTTGATATCAACACCAAGGGGTCCATCCAGAAGCAAGGAAGTGAAGCATCAATATTTTTTTTCAGTTTATAGACATGAACATTTTTCTTTTCTTTTTTCTTAGGTATAGACTTTAGAAACTCTGCTTAGGTTTTGGTTTCGGATCCATTTACCAAAAATCATCTTTATAGCCGGTCTGATATGTGCGTGTGTTTAAAGGTGACATGTTCTCATTGGCACACCGGCTTTGAGGTCACTTGGACTGGATCTTGATTCACTTTCCTCCCATAATGATGGGGAAGGGTAACTGGGTTGCTGCCATCAGACGCCTTTCAGGGGCTTGCAGGGCCTGTGCTGAGGCGGTGCCTGGTCGCAGGCAGGGCGGGCCACTCCTGAGCAAAGACAGAACCTCAGACCAACTTTCTCGGGTCACTTCATCACTCCCCTGCCTGGGAAGCTCCTGGCGCTACCATTTTTCTGCGTCTCTTACCAGCACGTCCTTTCCCCCCAAGCCCCTAAAAAGATGCTTCCTTGATGTCGAAGCTATCACCAAATTACTTTATCTTGGGGGTGATTATCCCCTCAGGTTGAGCCTCTAAGGATAAATTTTTTCAGTTGTTTTGCTTTCGGCTGCTGATAAAAACCCTATTGAAAGGATCGATTGCTAGTCCTTATGGGGAAGCCTAGGAAATAGGCTCTGTGGGCGGTGGTGGGATGCATATGTCATACAACCTACAGGACAAAGATGTGCCAGAAATTTCTAACCTCACCAGTTCTCTTCTCCCTTCCGCTTGTTCCGTGGACCCTTCTTTCCTTCCTGAGTAATCTGAGAAGCCACGATTGCCTCCTTATCACCTATTCCATTCACGAGGGCAGAACCCATGACTTCTTTTTCTTCTCTCTGTCCCCAGATATGGTGAGAAGGATGGTCAGACTCTACATATGACTAGTCCTATGGGCTTAGCACCAAAAGTCCCACATCACAGGAAACTCACGCGTCTCAGGCAAACGAGGCTGGTTAGTCACCCCACTAATGGCACTTTTTCATGGAAAAAGCAGAGATGAGTGAATTCGGGGGCCCAGGGCTCTCCACACGCTGTCTGAATGTGGTCTCTGTTCTCCTCGAAGCAAACAGAGCTTCTTAGGGAAGGACCAAGACAGAGGCCATAGGACCCGTATTGCAGTGAGGGGAAATCGGGTTAGTGCTTTGAGGCAGCTGGTAAACTTTGTTTAATGTCCCCAAGGTCGATAGGATCTACTATTTAACATATGCACGCATACACTCATACATAAATACTGAAGGATTTATTGCCTATGAAATGCTTCTCTTCCCAGGAGCTCAGCAAACATATCTGCTTATGTAAAATATTATTTCTCAATGGCAGATCTATCATATTAAAAGGCAAATTGGATTCAACAGGGATCCAGAGACTACAACACAGGGGGTAATGAGATCTCCCCATATCATGGGTCCACGTCTTCCAGATTCTTGGACATGCTTCTGTGGGCCAGCCCGTGATTGATGTCCGTAGAGGTCACCAGCAACCTGGACCAGAGAAAGGACAGCAACTGCAGGAATAGGAGCTGTTGCCGTTGTTAAGAAGGTGGCCTCCTTTGCAGAGTGGGCCTCACAGGCAAACTTTGCTGCCTTTTTGGACCAGGGCCTGGGGGATGTGGCTGATGCGCCAAACGCCCACATTGGTGGTTTCCAGGACGGGACCAGATATGCTCTCTCTGGACAGCAGCTAGCCTGGCATTACTTCAATCTCTGGCTTCTGGGCATCCAGATAATATAGCATGTATGTGAAAGACTCAGAAGGAGGAAACTGAGACCTTGTCCAAGGAAAGAGGAGACCTATATCTCGCCCTCCCCGCTGAGAAGGCCACCCTCTTCCAGGAAGCCTTCAGTGTCAAGAAGAGCGGCTCCCGAGGAGGAGGGGCGTACGCCCGGCCACGTCGGCCAGATTGGCCTCACAATCACTGGCGTGATGGATGCTGCAACCAGACTGCCCCATGCCTGGGATAAAGGACGTTCACCTTCTCAACTTGACTCTCCAGGCTGCAAGACTGTCCAGGTAGAAGCTCTGAAACTTCCCATTCAGCTCACGATCAGCAGCTAGAAAGCAAAAGAGATACAAACCAACTTATTCAACTAACATCCAAGTATGTGTTTGTTGAAAAATCAGTTCTTTCTGAGATTACACCTTCTCATCTTCACCAACATGTCCTCATCATGCTGCTAACTTGCTTTCCTGAGAAAATTGCTGTCTTGCTGGGGAGGGGCGGCGGGCATGGGGGTAGGTGACAGAGGGGATACAGGGAGGGGCCGGGAGTGGCTATAACTAAATTGCCCTTAACATTGTCTTCGTGTAAGAACACAAGTAATGTCTTCTTGGTGTTCTTCTGCCTACTTACTCTTCTCTTTGGTGTTGTGTCTCTCTTTGGTAAGAGATCAGTATGGGTTTAGTCTTTTTCTCCATTACCCAGCTTTGCCCTGGTCAAAGTCCTTTCTGTAGCAGCTGGTTTGGGATGATGGGGGAAATCTGATGCATTGACCTCTTCTAGCTATAATTCGCAACCTCTTTTCCATCCAATCTAGAACACTGAGGTCGAATATTTGGTTTGAATTTAAACGAATCAGGGCTAGATCTGAAGGCTTGTGTCTGGGACACTGTGTCACTTTGGGCCTTACCCAGCACTAGAATCGCCTGCTCCATCTACAAAATGGAGACAATCTCTGAGCTGGTAGGATTGTCACGAGCATTTCAACATGCATCATCCAAGGGCCACCGTTAGGATTTCGACCAAATATGTGTCCTGCCAATACTGTTATTTACGTAACATTTTTATTTAAGTCAATTCACATTTTCACTTACATAAATTTATTTTAGGAAGAAACATTATATTGTACTTCAAATAGAAAGTCAGCCTTACTTGCCATAAATAGAAGGCAGCCATGGAGATAAATAAATGACAACAAAACAAGGTTATTAAATTCTAACCAGAAGCCAACGCTCAGAGCTTGCCCAGTGCTTTCATGTTTAAAAGGGTGACGAGTGAGTCTTGGAGAGCAGTAGGGGCACCCCACCTCCCACGAGGGACTCCTTAAGGTAGAAAGAGTTGAAAGAAAATTTACCAGGGATGAACTTCCAAATGTTATCAGTTGATGTGATTCAATGACCAGTTGCAGTCCATACTCCTGGGAAATGTAGAGATAAGGGAAGTGAAACTACTTATATTTTTAATTATTATTATATTCAGTTCAGATTAGGTTTCTCCTTTCCCTTTACTCTTTTTTTTTTTAGTTCACCCAGAACATATCTTAGTGAAGATGATGAGGATGATGATTATGATGATGATGATGATGTAGCAGTAAGAAGAGAAGCTAACATTTAATGAGCTCCTTCCTGCTAGGCACTGTAGTAAGTGCTCTACATGGATCATCTCATTTAATCCTCATTAAATCCTTACAGGTTCCAAAATGACCTCTGCTTACAAGCGGGCAAACCTCAGCTGACAGAATCGCTGCCTAGCCCAAGGAAACAGACCTGGGAAGTGTAGACTTAAATGCGAACACAGAATGTCTGATGCTAAAGCCCCCGATTGTAAACGCATGCAACACTGTTCATTTTCAGGATTTATTTACTCCTGTGTTGGACCCTGTACTAGGAGAGAGCGGTGAACAAGCCAAGCGTGGCCTCTCCCTCATCTCTTGTTGCCTAAGTAAGCATTGCCCTTCCTCTCCCTTGGGACTGGGAGAGGAACTGGGGACATGCCTATTCCAGTGGGAAACTGCCACTCGCTTGCTCTATTGTTTTCTTCTGCTCCTTTCTACTCTCTGAGCCTCAATTTCCATCTTTAAACAATGGAACGGTACAGGCAGATGATTGATCGGCAGAAAAGGCCCTTCCACACTGATCTTCTGCAGCCTTTTCAGGATTCAGCAGCCTGGAGTCACTGAATGACCAGCAATGGACCCTGAGGATCAGACGTGTGAGCCAAAGGAGAGCTTTAGTCTTGTATACTGCAGACATCACTGGGGCTGCTGCTCTCCAGTAGAAGGCACTTTGACTTCCCACATTTTTTAGATGGAACCTGCACACTACGTGGACATGCTCCTGTTGGCCCCATCCACTCACCACTGCAGGCATTTTGCAGTTTCTCTGTGTGTGGACAGCAAGACCTCTGAGCCTTTCACAGCAGCGTGGCTTGGGGTGGAGCGGGGTGAGGGTGGGTAGGGAGACTACTGACTTCGTTTTATAGAAAAGGAAACAGACTCTGTCAGGGAAAGTTATTCGCCCAAGGACACAGAGTGTACAAGGGACAGAAGTCAGGACTGAACACGCTTCAGGTGGCTCCATTCTAACAGAACGCTTTCTTCCTCCTCTTTCTTAAATATATTTGATTTCTAAATACACAAATTATATATTTTTTGGACTACATAAATGATGGGTTATACAAATAATGTATTTCTGCAATCCATTCTCATTATAAAAAGGTCTAATAATATAGATACAGCAAAATACTCCTTGACTCCAACTCCATCCCACTCCCCCTCCCAAGAAGTAATTGCTCTTATCATCTGACTTATATAATTCAAGAACATGTTCTGTGTATTGATGTGTGTGTGTGTGTGTGTGTGTATGAATGCACATATAAAAATATATAGTTTCATTTTGTTCCTCTATAGAAATAAGATGAGGCTGTATACAATAATCTGCAAGTTGCCTTTTTCAACTGTACACCTGCAACATCATTTCCCACCAACGCATGATTCTTCTTCATTCTTTTTAACTGCCGTGCATGCGTTTCATACCATAGGCATTGAGGAGTTTGCAGTGTTGTCTCTTCTACGTTCTAGCTACACCCCATGTCTGAGTGGGGAGTTCGAAGTATCAGAAAACCAGCAGCCTCCTTTTTCTAGGACTGTGCTAACCACATGAAGGTCAGCTGAAGTGGTTTCAAGTTTAAGCAGCAGCAGCAACTCTGACCTGGCAGCTTCCTTGTGGGGAAGGCGGGCCTGCCACTGGCTCCCGGCTTCCTCCCTCCCTTTGCGGGGCTGGGACACTTCGCTGAAGTTTTATAGGCTTTGGAGTCAGACTGCCGGCTTCCTGCTTCCACCATTTCCTAGATTTGTGTTTTTGAGCAGGACATTTAACCTGCTACACCCTAATTTCCCTGACAGTAAAGTCAGGGACATATTGATCAAACATATTTAAAAGTGTTAGTCATGAGAATGTACGGAAAACAGTTGGTAAATGCTTCTAAAAATGCTTTCATAGTATCATTGTGTCCTCTTGATGACCTCACCAGTTCTGCTTTCTGCCATCCTGGTATACGGTTTAAGGAATAGAAGGTTATGGAAAGGGAATTATAGTGGGAGCAATACTACCTCCACGTGCATCACAGTTTCCAATTTACTGGCGGCGCTTGTTGAATCTTCACAACTGCCCCATGGGGTGCGTATATTATTCTCTATTAACCATTTACAGATGAGGAAACTGAAGCTCCAGGGTTGGGCTGGTGACCATCTCCAGGTCCCCAGAAGTCATTTGAGGGAGTCAGAATCCAGGTTTCTGAGTCCAAATGCCAAGTCTCTATGACAGCTGTGGTGCCAGCTCTTATTTAGAGAGAGTCACCTGGCAGCATTATGAGACTCGATTCTCTAAAAGTGACATTAGTTCAGCAATCCTTCCATGAAACATTTCTTAAGGCCTTTTAAAAATGCGCCAGATGCTGCTACACGTGATGGTGACACATAATCGAGTGGATGCACAGGACAACTCCGTTCTCCTTGGTATAGGCAACCCCTCCAGTCTGTAAAATAAGGATGGTTTCTACTTTTTTAAGTGATTGGAAAACGAATTAAAAGGTGTTTTGTGACATGTGAAAATTATGTGAAATTCATGTCTGTGAATAAAGTTTTGTTGTAACACAGCCATGCCCGTTTGTCTGTGGTCGCCTTCACGTCACAACGGCAGAGATGAGTAGTTGTCACCGTGGAGCCTAAAATATTTACTATCTGGTCCTATCCAGAAAAAGTGTGCTGACTCTTGCTGTAGGGCAATCACTATCCAACCATTCACTCCATAGACATTTACCAAATGCCTACTATACCAGGTATCGTCTAAATTCTTTTTTTTTTTTTTTTTTAGTTCACCACTCTGGGCATATTTAAGATGATTTTAGCGCCCCCTGCCGTACTTCTACTTGTTCTACTGGCATTTCTTGAGACGGTGAGACAGATCAACAAGTTTAGAAAGCAGCGACCTCTGGTGGCTGATCTTATTACTACATCAATTATTTGATCATTTGGTTAGGGTTACAGTGAAAAACCAGATTTGGATAGAGTTTTTGCTGAGGGTTGGGGGTTCTGTATTATTTTGAAATATCTAGAATGTTCTATAATTTGTTTCTTGCCTTTTTACTGATCACAGTTCTAACCTGGAGAGTGGAACATATACTTTTAGTTAAAAGGCAAGTTAGCTGAGTTGAAAACAAGGGAATAGAGATGACCCAATGTAGTATTTAACATTCTTCTTCATGTAATAGGAAGAATTTTAAGTCTTGGAAAAGAGAGAACTTTGAAGAAAGATACCGATTATCATTCACACTATTTCAGTGTTAGGAAACGTTGCTGGTGTCCTTGCATTTCTATGGACATTAAATGAGACAGAGGCAGCCCCATGGGAATTAGGCACTTGGATTCCTGTCCTACCTAGCTTTAATCAGTCCTTGACCATCAGTGAGCTTTTCACTCTCTAGGCCTCAATTAATTCCCGTAAATGAAGGGGTTGGACTAGATAAGTTCGAAGGGCCCTTATCCCGCATACAAACCATGATTACGTAGTCACGCGCTGCTTAACAAGAGGGATATGTTCTGGGAAATGCGTTGTCAGGCAATTTCATCCTTGGGCGAACATCAGAGTGCACGTTCACAAACACAGGTGGTATAGCCACTACTGTGATTGTGCAAGCTATACTTTTATATGACTGGCAGCACAGTAGGTTCATTTATACCAGCATCACCACAAACGTAATTGTTTTGTGCCGGTTTCAGCCTATCAGTAACTAACATTTGGGTTGGACTGTCCTTAATGGTGTTTATGATTGCAAGACACCTTTCAGCAATACCCAGCAGGCAAATTTGAAGATAAGGTTTATTACAAGACCTGAAAACTACACAGCACACTTGGGGCCATACAGCCAGCTTGAGTGTAAAGAGCAAACACAGGTCTGGGATTCTGCTTTTATTGGGGACGAGGTGGGGGGCTAGGGTTTCCAGGGCTCATTCTTTATTGAATTTAAAACATAAGAACAGGAATTAAGCCTGAGAACAGATATAAAAAATAGCCCAAAGGGTTACTGAAACCAAGATGTCTAAAAACAAAGGAGCTTCGTGGGTGGGGCGGGGGTGGGGGTGGTGGCCTGGCTCCTTTATCTAGTCCTGTAGCAGGCAACGTTTGAGATAGCCTTCTTTGAGATGGATGCCTCTGCCATCACATACTTCCATTACATAAAAGGAAAAAAAAATTGTTAGGGCTTACCCTACAGTAATGTTGAGCTAAGACTTTAACAGATGGCTGACATCACTAGGTGACAGAAATGTTTCAGCTTCATTATAATCTTACGGGACTGCTGTTATGTAGTCTGTTGTTGACTGAAACGTAGCTTTGCAGCACTGGCTCTATTTGAAAAGAGTTCTTAGGATTTTTCCCCAGACCTTCGGTTTAAATAATTTCTTGAAGTCACTAAGCTAGCAAGTGGCAGAGCTGTCCCTCAAATACAGGTGTGGCTCTCTAAAGCTTTTTTTTGCTCTTGACCCAATACTCTAAACACTGCATAGCTCACTGCCTTATCCGGGCAGTTTCTCTCCTTGGGAAAAAACAAAGGCCATCTTCCGATGAGCAGACAGCCTGGGAAATTCTGCTGTTCCCAGTGTTCTGTCGTGTAGAGTTCTGCGACATGACCATCTCGCAGCCACAGAACTTTAAAAAAAGGAAAGATCAGAAAGTAGACGGCACTAGGATCTTAGACCTAACTCCACACACTCCTTTTCTGTGTAGTGTTTGCTACTTTTTGAAAAGAGGGATTCAGGTCCAAGGCAAGAAGTTTTTAATAAATTTTTATTTTTATATTCAAGATAAAGCATATACACAATTGAATATGGAAATAAATAACTAGAAATGCTTTGGAAACTTTTCCATTTCCCCTTCAAACTCAGTTTTGTTTTGTTTTGAACTCATGAGTCTTTATTTAATTTTAAGAAGTATGGCAACTATAATACCAAGAAAATAAAGAACCACAATTTTGTACAGAAACATATAGCCACCTCCGACTATAGGGTTTAGTTTGTGTTTTAATAGTAACACAAAAAAAGCACACAAGACACAAAGACTCTTCAACAGATTTACTCAAAACTGCTTCGCTCAAGAAGAAAAAGGCACAGATTTAAGGGGATGACAGTGATTATTAAGAATATAGTAAATGGGGCTCAGCCAAAAAGTGACACTTTATGAACTACGTCAGGAAAAATGAACTCTTTCCAATTATCTGCCTTCATTAAAATGAATTTTTAAATTAACTTGTATAAACATATGATATAAAGTTGGTACTTAGGAAGTGTCTGTATAGTTCCTTTATGTACAAATTTTTGTATACAACGTCAACGTTCCTTATACATCTCCTATATACCAAACGGAGCCAGGGCCTGCAACCGCACACCCCGGGTCCCTGTGCGCTCTCTGGCAACTGGATGGCCCCAGCCACTTTCTGCTGGAATAGCTGGAAAGCAGGAAGGACCAGTCAAATGTAGTCATCTTCGACTGGCTCTCCGTTGACATCACAATAGTGGATAAAAATTGCCACTACTCGCTGGAACACGCCCTTCTTCATCTGACGCATCTCTGAAATTTCTTCTCCTATCGTTTCCATACAGATGTCTGCGGACAGCTGCCCTTTCCTTCGAGGAGCATAGATGGTGCCTTGCAAATTAGAAAGAAAAGGGGTAACGTATGATTATCAGAACCATTTGATAAGTCGCTCTGAGTAAGCTGGTCTATGAGACATGCCTAAGTACTATAATGTAATGCCACTGATATACGTATAGCTCATGGAAGGGGTCCCCATTGGTTTAGTTACATACCATGTGTGATACCTAAGACAGCATATGTGGTTAAAGGCCTGAGATGAAAATGCACCAGAGATCAATTACGTATATGTACATGTGGTTTTTGAAATCCATTTCCTTACATTTTTCAAGTAATTTTTTACTTCTTAATTACAGTTGATACCCAATACTAGTTTCAGGTATACCGCATAGTGATGGGACATTTATATAATTTACAAAGTGATTACCCCAATAAACCTAGTACCCACCTGACATCATACATAATTACAATATTACTGATTATATTCCCTATCCTATACTTTACGTCCCCATGACTATTTTGTAACTATCAATTTGTACATCTTAATCCCTTCCCCTTTTACATCCATACCTCTAACCCCCACCTCTCCGCAACCATCAAAATGTTCTCTGTATCTATGAGCTTGTTTTTGTTTGTTCATTTATTTTGTTTTTTAGATTCCACATATAAGTGAAATCATATTCTATTTGTCCCTCTCTGTCTGACTCATTTCCCCCAGCATAACATCCTCTATTTAGGCCCATCCACATCACCACAGAAGGCAAGATTCCATTCCTTTTCATGGCTAATATTCCACCATATATATATACACTACTTTGTCTTTATCCATTCATCGACTGATAGGCACTTAGGCTGCTTCCATCTCTTGGCGATTGTAAATAGCGCTGCAGTGAATATATGGATGCATATGTCTTTTCAAATTAAGTGTTCTGGGTTTCTTCAGATAAATACCCAGAAGTGGGATTTCTGGGTCCTTGTTTGTAACAATACAGCCTTTGTTTTAAACTCATTTTGTCTGGTGTAAGTATTGTTACTTTAGCTTTTTCTTTTTTTCATTTCCATTTGCATGAATTATCTTTTCCATCCTTTTACTTTTAGTCTGTGTGCCTTTTGATCTGAAGTGAGTCTCTTGTAGGCAGCACATGTATGGGTCTTGTTTTCTTATCTATTCAATCACTCTAGGTCTTTTGACTGGAGCAGTTAATCCATTAACACTTTGACAGATATATAGTTATTGCCATTTTATTATTTATATTTTTAAATTTTTCTTCTTAAAAATAGTCCCTTTAACATTTCTTGTATATTGGTCTGGTGGTGATGAACTCCTTTAGCTTCTTCTTGTCTGAGAAGCTCTTCATCTGTCCTCAAGAGTCTAAATGACAGCTTTGCTGGATAGAGTAATCTTGATTGTAGGTCCTTGCTTTTCATCACTTTGAATATTTTGTGCTAATCTATTCCGTCCCAGAAAGTTTCTGTTGAGAAATTAGCTGACAGTCTTATGGGAAATCTCCCTGCAGGTAACTAATGGCTTTTCTTGTGCTCCTTTTAAGATTCTCTGTCTTTAACCTCTGGAATTTTAATTATGCTGTGTCTTGGTGTGGGCCTCTGGATTCACCTTGTTTGGGACTGTGTTTCCAGGGCTTGTATGTCTATTTCCTTCACCAGGTTGGGGAAGTTATCGATCATTATTTCTTCAAATAGGTTTGCAATTCCTTGTTCTCTCTTCTTCTGGGGCCCCTATGATGCAAATGTTGGTGTGCTTGATGTTGTCCCAGAGGCCCCTTAAACTATCTTCATTTTGGATTTTTTCTTTTTGCTGTTCCAATTGTATTCTGCTATCTTTATCTTCTAAATCACTGATTCCTCTGCTTCATCTAATTTACTGTTGACTCCTATAATGTATTCTTCATTTCAGTTACTGTCTTCATTTCTGACTGGTTCTTTCCTCTACCTCCACTTTTATGTTTCCTATTTCTTTGCTGAAGTTCCGCTGAGATCACTGAGAATCCTTTTAATTAGTGTTTCAAACTCTGCATCTGGTAGACTGCTTGTCTCTATTTTGTTCGGTTCTTTTTCTGGAGCCGTGTTCTATTCTTCCACTTGAGACATGTTCTTTTTACTCCTCATTTTGGTTGCCTCTGTGTTTGTTATTATGTATTAGGTATAACTCTGCTATTATCTCCTGGTCTTAGTAGAGTGGCCTTATGTAGTAAGTGTCCTGTGGGGCTCAGTGACGCAGTCGCCCTGGTCTCCTGAGCTGGGCGTTCTAGGTATGTGTCCCTTGTGTGGGTTGCGTGTGCTCTCCTATTTGTAGCAGAGCCTTGATTGCTGACAACACATAAATAGGAGGGACTGACTCTCAGGCTGATTAGCTGGAGGACAGGCTGTGACTACAGTGGTTCCCTGAGGGTGAGGCAAACGGTGTTAGGCAGGTTGAAGGAGACTCAGATGTGGTGCCTGCAACTGCACACTGGGAAAGGGGAGGCCTCAACAAAGGAAGAAGGGTGTCTGCCAGCACTTCTGTCTGCAAGCAAACTGCCCCTCCAGCCCTCAAGCTCAGAGCAAGTGAGCCAGTCATTAAGTCTGTGCCCAGGACCTTTAAGAGGAATGCCTGGAACTCCGGCCGCCCTCTGTCTCACTCATCTACAATCCCTGCTGGTTTTCACAGTAAGATGTTATGAGGACTTCCCTTTCTGGCACTGGGCTGGGATTCCTTGCTCTTCAGGGGGGACCTCCGAAACCGAGATATCCTTCCCAATTTTTAACAGCTACATGTGGCTGTGGGACCAGCCTGTTTAATGTCTCCACCTCTCCCACCAGTTTCAAGGTGGCTTCTTCTGTATGTCCTTAGTTATTAGACTTCTGTTCAGCTGGACCTCAGGCAATTCTCAATGATAGTTATTCTGTAGATTATCTGTAATTCTCATATGGTCATGGAAGGAGCACAGTGTTTACCTACTCCGCCATCTTGACCGGCAGCCCCTCATAAAATAGTTTTTAAAAAATATCCTACAAATGGATATTCAAGTGTGCTAACTTAGAACTATATTCAAAATTACCTTCAAGTTTCTCCCCAGGTATCTACACCTAAATCATAAATTCATACATGCTATCCAACAAAAAGCTGCTCATAAGTAGCAAAAAAGAACTGGTATAACTGGAACAAATCTGAAACAATATAGTTGACAATAAGAAGTTAACAAATTTATAAACATTTAGGTAATAAAATCTAGGTAGGAAAATCTGTCTGAAGGAATCCTTCCCACCAACCTTCACATACCCCTGGTAGGTCAAGTGACTGTCTATCGTACAAATGTAGAAATGTTTTTTGCAGGGAAGAACCAAACAATAACAGAAAGTAAATAAAAACCTTTATATGGGAAGTGATTTAAAAGCTGCACTGCTCCTAATTCTCAAACAAGATATACGTATCTAACACAGAGGATATACTCAAACTAGAGAATACAAATTAAGTCAGGTCATAATTACTTTCTTCGTCATCTTCAAAATCGTATCTGGCGAAGCTGTTGGGTTCTGCTGCCCGAAGTGATCTCAACCAAGGAAAGTCAGAAATCATTGAATACGGTGCACCATCCACAACACCTAAAAGATGGGGAACAGTGTTACTCACGTGAAAGTAATGACAGGGCCAAACACGCAGTATTTTGTAAGACTATAACATGTGCTTTCATCCTTCGTGGCTGAAAAAGCACTGCACTAGGAGCTATAGATTCCAATTCTAGCTCTGCCACTATTTGGTCACGTGATCTTGGTCATCCTCTGCCTATACATGTAGACAAAGCAAAGAGGCTGAGACAGGTGCCCTCAAGTCACTTCTAACTCTCAGACTATAGCAAGTTTCAATTTTCTTCTACTTTTTGTGTTTCAACACTGCTTCTGATTATTTTAGGGATCGTAAAGACTCATACAGGAAGAATAGGATTTATACCTGGTTCCTGCTACCTGCAGATATTCAAAACATCCATTATTTTGGTGAATTGTAGGGTTCCCATTTCTGTCTTCCCCAAGACATGTCTCTGTATCTAGTTAGTTACAGCTACTTGGATTTCAACCATTTGTAACTGCTCACCTTCTAAAGTATAGATCTCTCTGCCCCAGGGGTACTTGGGGTATTTCTTTAAGTCTTCTTCACTTCGCCTGGCTTCTGGGAAGAATTCATACTTAATGAGCTCTCTGGAAACAAGAAAATAAAAATTACAAATTGGAAATAATGTTGGGTTGCGGGGTAGAAAGGAACTGTCAAAACTATGTCTGGCCTAGATTCTAATGAATATTTCGAACTAGTAAGTACCTAATAGAAGAAGAATACCCTCGAACTAGAGAGTATATCTAGTCAGGTCAAATTTACTTCTTTCATTATCTTCAAAATCATACCAGGTAAAAAAAGAAAGCCACTCTCTAATCAAATGTCTTGTGTATATAATGTTTATATAACAAATGCATAAAAAGTCCAATTCTCTGATGATGTAAAGCACTGCAGTTTTTAATTGTATTTTGTCCGTGCCCTAAGGGTGAAGAAACAATGTCAAATGTACATGTACACCAGTTCTTGGAATTCTTCTTGACATTTGAAAGTAAAAGTTACAAATATACATGTAAACTTTTTAGTTTTAAGTCCTTATTCCCTCAAGTTTTTCACTTATGTTCTATTTCTTATGTTTCAGTGCCTAAAAAGCCCAGATGACATTTAAAATAAAGAATAATTACAATTTGTTCCTGGAAGCTCACGCAAGGAGAAATGACTGAGGCAGCCTTCCGGGACACAGGGCACTTACTGGTTGATGTTGGCTACAGTGTCCATCCAGCTGCGGATGCGCACCTTGTTCCGTACGTTAGGAGGGTTACTGAACTCGTGGATGATGCAGATGTGATAGGGGTAGGGACCACTGAACAGCTTCTGCTCCAGTGTTAGCGTGTCCACCTGTGGAAGATGTTCAAAGAGAGGGCTTGGACCAGGGAAAAGAATGCCTTAGAGCTTGAACGATCTTTCCTGGGGACCTACGTTTTAAAATATTTGGCTCATTTGAAAATCTGATCTGAAAAGCAAACAGTCACATTCAGTCCTGAACACAGCTTGCCATGCTGGGAGTGAGGCTTAGCAAATTCTCCTGTCTAGCAAGTTCAGCGATTTACATTTCACTGTTATATAAATGCCCACTAAAATGGAGAACCTAGAATCAGGTTAACTGATCCCAGGAATCCACTTCTGAGTATGTTTTTCATAGGTTCAGTGACTGCATGCTAGAACTATGGATGTGTAGTACCATGCACCTGTTCAAACTGGACCACTGCCGATTCCAGCTCCTCGCCCCCTCAGAGCCTTTGTTCACATTGCTTTCTTCTCATACTCTCCTCCTACCTCTAGTTATGCAATCCCACTCTGCCATCTCAGTGGCTTTCACGTCTACCTCCTTCTCAGAAAGACAAACTTCTTGAGGGAAGGATGATGTGCTGTGTATTTTTCAGCCTCAATCCATTACAGGCACTCAACAATTTGTCAAAATGATTCTTTTGGGGCCAAGGTCAAATGCTGATTGCTAATGTTGTTTAATATTTCTTTTAAACTTTCTTTTGGCATTAAGCACAGAGTCTTACATACAATGTTTACTCTTTTTTTCCCCCAGTTTTACTGAGAAATTATTGACATACATCACTGCATAAATTTAAGGTGTATAGCATGTTGGTTTGGCATGCAAATATTGTGAAATGATTAACAGAAGAGGTTCAGCTAAAATCTCTGTTCATGTAAGTAATAAAATGTTTACTCTTAATAATGAAAATGATAATGGCAGCTATCATGATTGCTAACTACATGCCAGCAATTGTTCTATCACTTCACATGTGTTAATTTAACCATCACAACAGCTGTACTTTTCTGTCTCTTCTAATTTTACAGATGAAGAAACTAAGACACAGAAGTTAATATGCCATAGGTCAGTGAACCAGATTTTGAATCAGGCAGTCTGAAACCAGCCCATGCTCTTAACCAGACAACTTCTAATACGTGTGAAAAACGTGTTGAATAATAACTGTACTCATCATCTAACTTGCTGAAACCCCACAAAAACCTAGCAGAGAAGCACTAATGAAGACTGGCAAAGGCAGTCTAATTTGGTTAAAAGAACTCTGTACAATCTGAAGAATCATCACTATAGGTTGAGCAAATGAATAAATGCCAAGTTCAAAAAGGTTAAAGACTAAGAAAAAAATATACGTCTATCATCAGGAAGGGGCCAAGCTCGGTACCTGCTGCATTGGGCGTAGGTATATGATGCGGTTTCTCTCAGGAGGCATCCGCAGTATCTGGTCTAGTACCTGATCCATGTTCAGTTTTTTGCATTGTGCATAGTCGAATCTGTTTACGATTGGTGCATTTTCCACTTTTAAATGTTTTAGTACCCTGCACCTGGTAGCTACAAAATGAAAACAACGGTCAACTCTACAAATAATTTATGCAAAATAAAAGAGCAACACATAGCTTATCTGGAATCATCTTTGGAGGACTGGCACAACTTTTATTAGCATTAAATACTGTAGATGTAATAGACATCTTTAACAAAAGTTACATACTATCATAAAGTACAACTGACAGTTATCAAAATAATTTGAAAATGTGATTCCGTCCTGTTCAAAAGAAGGTGGTCACCCAAATGCTAAAAGGGATGTTAAAATACCTTTTCCTATCCAAGATTTTACTGGCAAAAAATCCACGTCCCACAGAATGACTTGCCTAAACACAGGTATTGTTTAGGAAGTATTTATTGAAAAGAATAAAGGATGGTAACTATTAAATTATACCATTCTATGGGTAATGGTCAAATAAACCTGGAATAATTCACATATATTATCTTATATTCACCCACAGGAAATAAGCAGAATTGATTTTAATTTCTATCATGCGTATAACGGCAGAACCTTAAAAAAAAAAATCAAAATACCCTGAAATATTTGGATACTTTGGTCTAAAGTTGTACAGTTCAACATGGTAGCCACTAGCCACTTGCAGCTACTTAAGGTTAATTTAACTAGAATGTAATAAAATTAACAATTCAGTTCCTCAAGCAATTAGCCCCAGCTCAAATGTTCAGCAGTCACATGCAGCCAGTGGTTACCACATCAAACAGTGCAGACAGACACAGACCAAACAGTTCCATCGCTGCAGAAAATTCTGGTGAAAGTGCTGGTATGAAACATGATTAAATAGTTTTCCTGTTGAACATATGAAATGCAGGTGACAAAGTAATTGTGATATATTAAACGCCGCAACAGTACACCAAGTTCAGAAAAATATCTTCTTCCTCTTTTCTTCGTAAAGACATGTTCTGTGACATCTCTGACCCAAAAAGTCTTCATCTTTCTAAGCCATCTTGCCTTGTAACTAACCTTGATGTTTTAACACTAATCAAGTCCCCTGGCTTTCAGACTCATTTTCTCCTTCTGTGACATGACAAGAGAAAGGGGAAGCTGTGATGGGGACAGGAAAGGAGGAAAGAGAGGACTACATGGTGAAAAGGATTCAATAGTTCTCTGCTACAAAACGGACACGGCTAAGGTCAATTCTAATCTCATTTAGTCATCTCTTCCACCATTAACTTAATCAGCTGGCGTCTAGGGACCACACTACTTATTCAAGGTCCTCTGTCCCAGATCATTTAGTTTAAGGGCAAAAGGCTGGGCCTGATGCCATGTGATCCATCACTAGGTCAGAGAAGATATGAGAAGAATCATTAAGAGTCGAGTGCAGACGTGAAAACCAGCCTGATTCCCAAAGAGCTCAGAGTAGAAGGAGGAATGAGAAGTCAACCAGCAAAATCCAAAGGTTGAGTTAAACCCCAGAACTCAGAGAGCAGAGCGCAGACAGAAAGCTTTTACAGTGCTGCCTGAAGCTTGTCTGCACTACCTGCTGTTACGATCTCTGAGCTTTTGAAGGGCCCCTGTTCTGTTCCAGGAGGAAACTCCAATAGGAGGAAGTCATTTATTAGATGTTTTAAGACCTCGTTGGTTGGAATGGAGTAAAGTACACTTCTTAAGGGTGAACATGGGGTCTGGGACCCCAGGTTTGGTGTTTTCTAGAATTCAGGAGAGGGTAAGTGTTTAATTCTGTTTTGTTTTGTTCTGTTATTTAATCCTTTCCTTTTAATGAATGGCTCACCCACATGTGTTTGTGTAAATATACCAATGATCCAGCCAGTCTCCTTTAAATCTCAGTTTTCTCTCTCCTTTCTGAGAGTCTCCTAATTTATGACAAAGTGTTTGGTAAGGATTTTCTTGTTTTGTTCACTATCAGTATGGCAGAAGTGCAAAGAAAAGAAAGCCCCTAAATATCTTTCTGCAATACTAATATAATAAATTTAAAATTAGCCTCTTACTAGAGATCAGACCCTCTACTGTATGTGTATATGTGTATGTACACACACACATCCACACATCAATCACTGCATTTAACCTTCACAAATGCTTTATAAGGTAAGCATAATTATGTACATTTTATAGACTGAAAAACTAATGAACACAGAGAATATATAACTTGCCCAAGGCAAGAAACGGGTCAAATCTTCATCATTTTACATGGATAGGTATTAAAAATACAATTCTGAGTGAAAATGGTAAAATAAACAAATCATCTACAGGACATACTATGTAGCTAAGATTTTAAAAGCTCACACAAAATGTTACCCTACTATTTGTTCAGGGATAGATATGTATATAAGTAAATACATGAAAGATGCACTGGAAGGACTTATGTTAAATACAAGAGTATAGGTGGTGGGAGCCGATGGGACTAGCAATGAGGGACAAATGAAACTAAGAGGAAAAGTGGGCCTTGGACTAAGAATAACATGCCATGAACTGAGGTTGTGTTTAATCACAACAAATCCAAAGCGGGTAAGCACTTTTAAGGCCCAGTCACCACTCCCTGCAAAAACATTTACACACAAACATGTCCAACATCACACAATTGGCACATGGCAGAAGCCAGGTTCAAGCTGAGGTTTACTTGACTGCAAAGCCATCCGTGTGGTGAATCTACTCTATCACGTCAGGTACAATTATCAACTGGAGGAAACTAGAGGAGAGGCTATTTAAAAAAAAAAAAAACCTAGTCTCTGCATGGTCCCTCATGAAAACTATGGAGTAATCACTTGAAAACTACAGAGCAAGGACAGAATTAGAAATAACCCGACATAATGATTCCTTCAAAAAAAAAAAAATAACATAGTAATGTTACTGAAGTATTTATGAGTCCTTAATTTTTTAAACTTGTTCACGATGCTCCTGTATGTCACGGGGCCTAAATACACACCGTGAATGAACATCATCTTGGGACAGTCCTTTAGCACCAGATCTGTGATGCCACAGTTGGTCATAGTGACTCCAACAAGATTTTTGGATTTTAATACAAGGACCTACAAGAAGAAAAAATTTTAAGTTAGATATCCCTTTCTGTATATCTTTTTTAAGCTTAAATGTTTTCACTGGCACAAGTTGAGAAGCCACTGTTACCAACTTTTTCTCTGTAGGGCAAAGACACTATATAAAGGCGGAAACTTTAGTTCCTCTACATTATTCAAGACCTTAACCAGACTGAAGGGTAAAGGAGGGCTGTTTCCTTCACCTGCACATGGTCATCCTCAATCACAGGATCACTGGTACTGGTGGACTTATCTGCTGTCCGCTTCCGCTTCATGGCATGGCGTGGCTTTGTTTTGGCAACCTCTAGAAAAAGCAAGAGGAAAACGCGAATTTTAACCTTGTTTTCTTTCCTTCAAGAGAACATTCAATTGTATGTGTATAAACTCTACCAAGGGAACTCTCATATCTACAACTTGGTTCCCAATGGAATCCAGTCAGCCTGCTATTCCCAACTGACCATTCCAACACAAGATCACCCTCCACAATCTCCATATCTACATCAGACATAATATCCTTTCTTTATTCCTAGGTCATTCCAACAATCTACCATTCTCATCTCTCGTCACTCAATCTGTCCTAAATACTATTGGTGGATTAAACTCACCAATTTCCTGCTAAACTACTTTAAATTGTCGACTACTGTTTAATAAATGCATGTTGATGCCTGATATTTGGAGCTGTGCTTTAGCCCCACCTGTTCTCAATTTTACTCCATACCATATCCTAATCATCTCCCACCGCCAATGCCTCTGAAGCCATTAATCATTCTAGCTCCTTTTGCCCTGAACACCTTCCCTGACACCACTTTTTGAAAAACTACCCATCCCCGAAAAGACCATCTCAAATGCCACCTGCTCTACCGAATCGCCTGGATCCCCAAACATTACATATGGTTCTGTAATTCCCTGTATACTTGTTTTATTTCTCCATTTAAACTAAGAGCTCCTTGAAGGCAACGACACTGTCTTATTTCATTTTTGTATCAACGTCAGCCACTAGCAATGAGCTAAAATGAACGTTTAATGAATGGCACACAGCATTCCCTGAATGAATGAATGCATAGCTGATACATAAGTGGAATAACAGCAGCAAATATTTACTGAGGGCTTACTATATATCAGGTAATTTTTCTAAGGGTTTCACTTGTATTAAACTAATTTAATCCTTATAATAGCCCTTTGAGATAGATTTATTATTCTCCTTATTTTACAAAAAAGGAAACTGAGACATGGAAAGGTAAAATAGCTTCCGAAGATGTAAGTAGTGGAACTAGGAGCAAAACTAGGCGATCTGGTGTGAGTTGCTATGCTAGAACATCTTCAATCTTGGATCTGTCAAACTCGTTAGTTAGGCCCTAACTCATTTAACTAGTACTGTTCTAAAACATTATAATTATGAAATCAAACATTGTGATTTTAAATACGAGTTCTAAATTCATCTCTAAAACTTAAGCACATATATGTTCCAAGGTAAGACACTAAGTCACTGTCCTCATTTTTGATAATCATTCTGTAGCAGAGCATATACTGAATGAAATCTGACTGACCTTCATGAATAAAATCCCACCATACTGCTCTTTCAGATACCAACACTAGATCACAACATTCCACTGGTGATTCTGTAACTTCAAACATGAAAGATTACTAAGAAAGACAGGCAAACGAGAGGCAAATATTGCAAATTCCCAAAGGCTTGGGGTCAGATAGGAACTCTGGGGATCTAGTCCAAGTGTTTTTCTACACACCACAACCTTTCCTCCACCATCTGAAATCTTTGTGAAATCTTACTATGCAAAATAATCAAAAGCAGCTGCTTTGGTTGAAGCTTTAAAGGGAACCCAGGAGTTCTACTCATCAAACTCCTTCCAAAGACCCTGAAGCCAAGCAGACCACTGGGGTTCTAGAAAAACATGAGAATTCTTGGCCTAGGCCACACAGTGAAGGCCTCCTTCCACAGTATTCCTGAAGGAACCTTATGCAAAATCTAGTTATCTTCATTGACGAGGAATCGTCTCAATTCAGCACATTTCGCATAACAGATAAAATGCACACACTTGCTATTAACAGGTCCTGGTTTCCTCTCCCCATACCGCAAAACAGAAAACAAACATCCAAAAAGCAGGTCAGTTTCCATTCTTTCCATGACAGTATTCAAATGAGAATCTTCTATTAGCATTCCCCTCTTATGACTGACCCAATTTTCAAACTTCTCATCTTGCTGGATGGCTCTCCCTTCCCCTTTTATTAGACTATGAGGTTCAAAGTTAAATTTCCTGCTCTCCACAGTGCCCAAGTTGGTGGTTTATGTTTTCTAAGTAAAGTTATAAAACTAAGTCACACTTTACATGTAGATAACCTTGAAAAACAAAGGTTTCTTAATGTGAAAGGAAAACAATTTGTCATGTTCTTATGCCTCCCTCCTTGTTTAGGGACAATTTTGTTTAGGGACAATTCTCAGTGACTTCATACGTCCCCCAACATCAACATACCTCATATGATGGTTCCTACAACTTATAAAGGTCACAATTATTCACTGAGCCCCATACCATGTAAGACACTGTGCTAGAAGCTGGGAATATAATGGCGAACAAGCAGACACTGTCCCTGCCCTCATGGAGCTCATAGTCTACTGGAAAGACAGACAGTAAAACACAGAATTACAACATAGTGTGGTTAACATTGGTGTAGAAGATGCTACAGAAATACAGAAAAGCAGACCAATCCAGTCTTGGGGGTGTCAGGAAAAGAGATTAGTATTTTTGAGAACCATATGATACAAATAAAATGCTATTCTTGGACAATCCAATGCTATTTTTGTGATATTTATCTTATAAAGTATTATACAATGAGAATAAAAAGAACAGCCCGCAGGCATATATTCCCAAAAGAGGAATTCACAAGACACATAACTATACTGGCTTCTAACGTGGTTTTAACAGTATATAAGGCCATAAATTGAAAACTAAACGAAAAACTCAAATGTTTTCTTTAAAATGATTTTAAAAAACCGCATAACATTCAATCAAGTTTGTTCCTTTATTAGGTTGGATTTTTCTCCTCAAAACTTTTAAAGTAGGATGGCCAATAGATATCAAAAACATGGTAGACTAAAAATAACAAGTTGAAAGCCACCCAAATAACTTCTTCTTTCCAAAAGAGCCCTGGATAACATTCAATCAGCACTCTGACCTTTCTCCAGAAAGACTTATTGAAAGTAAACAGACATTTATATTGTATGGAAAAAAAATTAGGAAATAATTTACCTACTATATACACATTAGCCACATACAAAGAAGTCTTCTCAAAATTGAAAAAGTAAAATTACAAGATAACAGATGTAATATACTTTAAAAAGTAAAAAGCACCACATGAATGAGATTTTTAAAAAATTCTAGGGAACTACTTAACCTAAGAAAAAGTTCAAGTCGTGAAACAGAAGAAAATGGTAAAGGGGACAGCAGAACACATGGCAAAAAAGAAATCAAAGCCCCCAATGGTTAATATAAAAGATCTATGTTAAAAACAGAACAAAACAGAGCAGAACACCCAAATGTAACAACTATAAAACCTTACCAAGAGACATAAGACATAACTGGAGACAAAATACTCTCTAAATAGGAAGACTCAGTGCTGCCAAAATGACAATAATCTTTTCGGCTGATCGATGTAATAGAATTACAAACAAAAACCAAGATTTGTTTTTAGAGTTTGCCAAAATGATTATAAAACACAACTATAAAAATAAATGATAAATGTATGACCAGCGAAGGAAATTTTGACAATGAAAGAGGACAGAACACTGGAACAGAATAGAATGCCCAGAGATAAACTTAAGTATGTCTAACATACATAATAAAAGAGCATTTCAAAATAATGGATGTTAATAAACAATAAGTTGTCAAAGTATTGAGACAACCAGGTGATAATTTGGAATAAAAAAATCAAGTTAATTCCCACAGATTAAAGAATTAAAATAAACAAATAAATGAATCAAAGAATGAAAAGTGAACAATTATCTGATGTAGGAAGGCCTTCCACAGCATAAAAATAAATAAAAATATCAAAGGTAAACACAAAGATCTGATTTTACGAATATGGGGGGGGAAAAAAAAAAAACCCTGCAGCAAAAGGTGTCATAATGTGGAGTTTCTATTTAATGAGTAGAGTTTCAATTTGGGATGATGAAAAAGCCCAGATGGATGATGGTGATGGCTGTCAATGTACTTAATGCCAACAAACTGAACACTTCACAATAGTTAAAATGGTAAATTTTAGGTTTTGTATAAAAAATGATGATAAAACATTTAAAATTCAAGCTGGGAAAAGTTATTTTCATCATATGGCAGAGCTGGTGTTCTGAAATCTTCAAATCAAACTGATATTTTAATGAATGTATGCTACTACGATTAGCATATAATTAAGCTCTCATATTTATCTTATGAAAGCTTATTTTTGTAAGTTTAACTCCATGAGATCCAATCAGATCTATTTAATACATAAAAAAGTATCCACTCTGTTCTGGGGCTGAAAATCGAGGGAGACTTGGATAAAATTAAAATATATTATTATTCACTGTAGGTAGTCATAAAGGCAGAAGAAATGACTTAAAAAGGAGGTCAGATATACAGACAGAATTATGATTAAGAAACCCAACCCAATGCTTTGACATACACATTATAAATATTAATGAAATTATATACACATATATATTTTTTAAGTACATCTACACCAAAATAATTCTCAGTAAACTACTTACTTACCTGCTTGTCTCCTGGCAAACCTAACTGGAAGCAAAACTAGACTTCAGAAAAAATTACTAAGTACTGCGGAGGCAGATGCAGGGGTGTGCCCATACGCTGTGTTCCCCCAGCCCCAGCAACTTCAAGCCCTTCTCTTTGGCTAAGGTTTAAAACTTCACTGAGAGTAAGACTTCCCTAAGTGTGGCATGGGAGCAGAGTTTATGTACTGGGACAGACATCAGAATCAAGTATTGTAATTAGGGTCAATCAATATAAAGAGTTCTATTTTTCTTAGAAATTTCTTGAGCTTTTCTGGGTTGGATATTTTACAAGCTGTTTTGCCCACCCATCCCTCCCCGCTACCACTGCTAAAAATTGGGTCAAAATCTGTATGATCACAGAACTCCAGAGGGAACTCAGTATGCCAAATTGGCTTTATGTAAGAAAACCTACGGAATGAGCTAATGCCCTCCTCAGTCCTAACCTGCAGTTGCTAGTCCTGGCAGCATTGTCATACCTGACTCAGATACCAGCGGTACATGGGACAGTCTGCTCCTGGCCCTTGTTAGGGGCCTCCGAGGGTAGTCTTCATTAGACTGCACGTCACAGCTCTCAGGCTGGGAGCTCCCCCTCCTGTCCTCACCTGTAGCCCCAGAGCCACTCCCATTAGTCCTCTCATCATGTGCTGGGCCTGAAGACCCCCCTCGTGGCAGAGTCCTAAAGGAAAAGGCGGATCTCGTACCATCCGGGCCATTCACAACACAGGCTCGGCTGGTTGAAGGACGTTCCTCATCAGAACACCTGCTAGTTCTCCTTTGGGATTCCTGGGGCCTGTGACAGCAGCATCTGGGGCAGACAGAACTCTCTGCATCTCCCTCCTCCATGGCCTCAGAGTCCTCTGACCCAGCGGGGGAGCAGACACACTGCCTGGACACATCCACTTGGAAGAGCCGCCGCTGTTCACCGTCCTTACAAAGTCAGGGCTTTGAGAAGCAGTGCTGTGTGAGCTGGAGTTTCCCACTGTGCTGGCGGTGGTGCTGCTGCAGCTGGGATAAACATCCTTGTTTTTTTTCTTTTCAGGAATATCCCTAGCTGCTTTCATATCGGCTTTGATCTGCTCACTGGTGACCTGACAGCCTTTCTCACAGCTGCTTTCCTCGAGGGGAAACTGCTTCGACTGGCCCATCTGATGGGAGTTGTACCTCTTTCGAAGTGGAGTCTTGCCTTTTCCACTTACTGCTTACAGAAAAAGAAGAATGGCCCGAGGAAAAGAAAAGGTTTCAGTACAAATTCTGGACAAAAGGCAAGAGTAAATTTGGAACAGGAAACAATGTACACTAATTTTCCTAAGGTATAATGGTGACCACATCACTCAGCTGCTTGAAAGTTCTCTATGGCTCCCTAGTGCTCACCTGGTTTCTACTCGTTAGCTCAGCTTTCAAGACTCACCATGATCTAATTCCACACTAACTTTCCATTCCTGTCCCCTCTACATACATTCTATATCCCAGCCCAATTCTTCTCTGAGTGGATCCCCGCCTTACTACCGCGGGACCTTCTCACCAATTCTTCAGCCTTAGACCTCTGTTCACTCTCTTCTGGACCCCCACCCGAGCCACAGTAATGTTACGTTCCCTGTGATAGCACATGTTTCTGACCCAACTCTTCCACCAGACTAGAGGTTCCCTAGAGAGAGATCATGACTTTCCCATCTCTCTATCCCTCGCAGCACCTAACGCCACACCCTGACACCGTGCCTGGGGCACAGTGAGTAAGACTTAAACAAATAAGGCTTTGTCTGGCTCACAGAAGGTCTAGTTTCTAGATTCAGAAACTGACTTTCTAGGAAACGTTAGGTTAATCAGCTGGTCACACTACTTCTCCTAAATTCTAGTTTCCATAAAAGCTCCCCTGAACCACAGTGTAAACATATATGGATTTCTTAAAAAGAGTAAAATAAGAATTGAGTATTTAGTCAATGGTTAGTAAATTATTCCAAGTCTAAAGAACTGAGCTTTCCATACATGAAAGTGTTACATATATATATATATATACACACACACATATATTTCAGGTTCAGTGTTAAATGCATACTGAACACTCAAACATATTAAGGAGTAGGGTACCCAAGGAAAATTGAATGGATAGTTTTAAAAAACCTCATCCTTCATTGAAAGTGGTAAGCATATGCTTCTGAGAAACATAAAGGAAGGAAAGACAAGGAAAAGGCATGAAAGTTAAGAGAATTATAGTTTCTTGGTGAGGCAAATGGCTGAAGGCTATTGACTAAATTTAAAGGGAGGCAAGGGACAATAAGAACTCCCTCAAGCACCACACTAGCCACCAACATGCACTAAACACAACTGGACAGATTATCCGCTGGGGAATGCTGTTTCCACTCAGCAGTTGTTCCTTACCTGAGGCACAGGCCTCTTGCTAATCCCTGATCCCCTGATGCCACAACTGCCTAAAGTCGTGGCATTCACAATCCTCATCTTCTCTTCCCTGAGCCCTGATTCCACAATATTTTTGTTGTGCTACACTCGCCCAGGATAGCACCACCCAGAATCCCCTCTCAACTGGACTACTGCCTTTCTGGTCTCCTGTCACATTTAGTAAGGAGAGTTAACTGCAACACAAGGTGCAGGAGGGACACATATTCTATCAAGGTCAAGTGTGTCAGTTCACATGACTCTAACAGGTCAGAGTACAAAATAATCTCTCACCTGACAATTCCCTGGACTGCGCCGACTCTCCGTTTTTTTCTTCACGCTCAGAATAACGCCGAGCATCATTCTTAGGAATCCAGACTTCCTGGAGTTCAAGACTGTCTTCCTCATCATCACTCTCTGAGTCATGAACAGTAATTGGGGTTGGTTTTACTACACGTTGAAGACCACTGGGTCCTAAAACAAAAAGCACAGACCAAACAGTTACTTTCTGCCCAAGAAAGGCTCTCTCTCAAAGTACTGGCTCCAGGGATCTGTGCTCACAGAGATGCTTTGGCTCTATGCAGCCTGCCTGACCACTCATTTCAATGGAATATAGTACCAGATGACATACCGTAAAAGCACTTAAACTGTAAAACATTATCTAAACATTAAACATGATTAATATGCCAACAAACACTGTGCATTTCTAAAAACAAATTAAAATAGATATGTGGCATCCTCCTTCAGGACCTCTACTGTTTGAAAAAGTCACATAAATCAATCTAAAATAACCAAAATAACAGTCATAGTAATTTAAAAAATAGGCAATGTTTCTAATTTTGCAAATGCACAAATGAAGGCAAAGAAATAAAGATGAATCTTAGATACACCTATGGAACTGGTAAGAATTCCCTGCATCCTTTAACTGCGTACAGGTCTATCTATAAAGATGAATCTTAGATACACCTATGGAACTGGTGAGAATTCCCTGCACCCTTTAACTGCGTGCAGATCTATCTTACTGGATGTAGTGCAGAAAAGTTTTTTTTCTTAATTTTTTTTTTTTTTTTTTTTTTGCTTCTCCAATTAGACATTAAACCTATGAAGGTGAGAAATTCTTCATAACTTTAAATAATGCCTTACGTGTAATATCTTTTTTTACGCCTAGGTCTTCCTGGGTGGTCTCCCATCCAAGTACTAACCAGGCCCGACCCTGCTTAGCTTCACAAGATCAGACGGGATCGGGCTTGTTCAGGGTGGCATGGCCATAGACGCAGAAAAGTTCTTGAAAGGCTGCATGCATGTTACAGTTTGGTTATTTATATTTACATAACAAATGTTTTATCTGCTTGGCAGTACACACTGTAAACCTTTAGCTCGCATGACCCAATTCTGGAGAGTGACTGACAGTCACTCCTTTCAAAGAAGTGTAAGTTCCAAGGAACCTTGCCTGTCTTTTTCCTGTTACAATGTATAATGCCTGACACAGTAGGCGCTCAATAATTATTTGTTGAATAAACGACTGCATCTGTAAGACATTCAAAACAAGGGTAAAGATAATTTCAATTCAAATACAAGGTAGCCTGACAACAGACCGGGACTGAGATAACTTGAGTTTTAATTCCAGCTATTTTCCTTGATCCCTGGCTGAGTGGTCTTGAGCAAAACATTCAAACTTTTAAAAAAAATATTAAGTTTCTGCATCTGTAAAACAAAGTGTTGTATTAGGTAATCTTTAAGGGCTTTGACTATAGCCTGCCAGAAGGCACTCAACAGCAGAGACCAGATCTTGGTTCATTTAGTAAATCAGGTCAGCCTGTCCACTGCTCCTCTCCTCCACCAAAATGAAGGGAGAAGACAAGCAGAACACTTAATCAGGTCACTTATAGAAAGAGGAACTATTGCTACAGTTACAAAAAATCAATAATAAGCTTTCATAATAAGATATATAAACATGTAGCAAGGAGAATATCAATATAATATAGGCCTAAATAATAAATAGCATATAATGTATCATTAGCTGTAATGTCAAAAAAAAGTCATCCTCAGTGTTTTATCTTCATTAGAGTCAGGCCCTAGCTTTCAGAACCATGAACGTGGGAAGTCACATGATTACCTGCTTGTTCCTCGTCAACATCCACAGGAATAACTGCCTGACTATGTGCTGGAGTCTCATGTCCACTCTCAGCCACCACCTCTCCATCTTCCTGCACCATGTCTTCCATCTCATTCAATGCTTAAATAAAAATAAAAACAGTTGAAGTCAAACCAAGAGAAGTCTAAAAAAACCACAATGGCAGGCAAAACTGGCATCCCTGAGAAAGCAACAGTGCCATGATTATTAGGCGCACTCTGGAGGAAGAGCATATAATTATGCTTCCTAGCAATATTAATAAGGAGTGTCCAATCATCCTATAGAAGAAATCACAGATGAGAAAGGATCGCTTGCTGGAGAAAGTCCATCACTGTATGATGAAAGCAAGGAAAAAGGCACACGAATGAGAAAATACCGTGTTCACTTCCAAAGAAGTTACCGAGGACGGCTGTAGGGGGCGACTGTCTCCGTCGACGCTATTTGTTTGAAGGTAGTGAAAGCCAACTACTGGAAGACCTTACAATCATACATGAGTTAGTTTTGTAGTATCTGCCAGCTAAACCAGAATGTACTGAACAGGTAAGCTCAAACTGTATGTTTCTTTTCCTACTCTCTAGAGGCTATGGTATTGTTTTTGGCTGGTGTGTGGCAAGGATTATTAAAAAATACACCACGCACATTTTTAGTATTTTAATATCACTCAGATGTTTTATTTGCATCGAAGTCTTCACTACAGTTTTCAGTGCCAATCACTGAGTGGGAATGTGGTTTTACTTATATTTTTCCAGAGGATAAGGACAGTGAACAATTTCAGACCGATAAGCTTTAATCAGTTTACTATATGTACTAAAGCTTCTATCAGTTTATTATTCTAAAGATAAAATGGTCACTTTTCTAGAAGGACCCTAAATGAAATAATTCCTGGCTTTGCCAGCTTTTTATAAGATTAAATCCAAATCCCTCAAGTCAGTATTCAAGGCACTCGATCCAGCTGCCCCTCACAACCTAAGCCTGTGAGCCTGGCAGCAGTGAGAGTCAAGACAACAGCAGTACTACCCTATGCACTTATAGCTCAGCCACCCTGTTCACCCTGTATCCTCAGTGCCTAAGGATGCTCAGTAACTACTGCTGAGAAATCAACCAAGCAACCATTTGAGTGAACTGAAAAAAAAAAAAAAACCAAAAGAAAAAAGATCCAGTTCCTGAAAGAACTAAAGACTCTTCTAAAGGAGACAAGCCAAGTTAATGTAAGCTGATAAAGTTAAACACAACAGGGCAATAAAAAGTGGGTAGCTCTACTTCATTCTGGAGTTGCCCAGAACGAAGCAGAGGGCCATTCATGATACGTTTTAAAAATCTACATTCAGGAAAGTCAACATGTCAGTAACAATTTCAAACTAATTTTAACGATACTGTTAAATCTGCAACTAAAGAGTGGAAACATCAATGTTAGTCATTTCAACTAGCACTAATTCTCACTGAACCTTTTTATTCTGAATCCCTGTACTACTCTTTTTTTCCTTTTTTTTTGCTCTTCTGTTTTTTTGTTTTTGTATATATCTCTTTGAATTCTATTTCTGGTTTTGATCAGAAGTCACATAGCCTTTCTCCAGTTCCTTATTTTTTATTTAAAAGACTCAAGTTGGTATGTATATAATAATAAATACAAATAACATACTGCCAACTTGGAGAGACCAGTAGAATCTAATGTTTTATGCCAATCTTCATTTCTCTACAAATGCTGCCACTATCTTTAGTGTTCTTAGTCTTCCTCTTGTTGAAGCTTTGTAATTCTTTGATCTTGGCATTTATGTAGCTCATTCCTTTGCTTCTCAGCCTTGAACTGCATTTGTAGATATCATATTTGACAATATTGTACCTCAAGTATTTGGTCTGCACGTAAGTCTCTCATAAACTGAAACCTTAAGTTTCAAATGTTAGATATGAGTTCCGCTATCCTCTCTTAAATCAAACACAGTGTTGTTGCACATTTGGTCCCTGCTGCATCAATATATGATTTCACAATGGAAGGCATTCCCCAATCTATACTGAGAAGCCTATGGCCATGTAACTTTCTGATAGCGTCTACGATCTGTCCAGTTCATCAACTCCAACCACAACTGGATTCATAGGATTTGAAAGTTCTGTACTGTGGCTGCTTTAAGTTTCCCACGGACAGTCTGCATTTTCTGAAGTCCAGATCCGTACGGTGCCAGTGATGAATATGATGGCACTTGGGAACAAAACAAGGCAAAGAAGTAATATGTGACTTCACTCCCCATCCTTCACCCCTAGCACCCCCTGGCTCTGTACTTTTATATTTTTGTATTTTGGAGTGAGAGTATCAGGGGAGAGATTTAGCCACAGGTTTGAAATGCTTAAGAGTAATTATGTGAAAATAAAAAGTATGAAGCTAGATATAATTGCAATATTTCAAAAAGTAGAAAGATCAAGGCTGGAAATTAAGGTTTCAAATTCATTAGCATACAGTTGCTACTGAAGCCATGAGACTGATGATTTCATCTAGAGAAAATGTTTAGAGAGATCAAAAACAAACATAATAGAGGAGGTGGTGCAAGCAAAGGAAACTGAGGCAGCATGTCCAATAGATAGGAGGAAAACTAGTAAAATGGTTTCAGAGATGCCAAGAGTAGGAAATATCTCAGGAAGGTAGAAGTGAGCAATGACAAATGCTGCCGAGATATCAAATAAGATGAATGTGGAGAAATGAACACTAGCTCTTTAAGAGTCACTGATGACTCTGCCACGAACCAAAATGCAGAGAACGTGTGAGGTGAAAGTGAAGACAATGTCTATTAATAACTCTTAGATTCGGACCTGCACACTCAGGAGTGATCCTAAAGGAAGTCATGCTCTGTACACAGTACACTTTCATTACAGAAGCAGTTACAAACATCAGGGCTCCCTACCTCCCATGAGTTACTGTGTCCAAATGAAGGGGGAAGAGATTTCCATTCCAGTTCTTAAGGGTCAACTGGGAAAGTGGAAAATCTGGTAAGAAAACAATCTCATTCTGTCCTCACTCATCAACAGAAGGGCAGATGAAGCCTAAAAACACATGAGTTGGCATGCAGCAGATGTTCACGAACTGGATGGATGGATGATTACATAAACAAAATCCAATAGGTCTTTACTATTTATTAGTTCATGTACTTAATTTGCTGGTGGTTGTGAAGACTAAATAATGAAAAGTAAAATGTGAAAGATGCTCAAGAGAACGCCTATCATGTGACTGGTATTCCTTTTTTCAGTCTGAGAACATCCAAAAATGGTGTCTACATTCAAGTTCAATGTACTGATCTATTGGTCGGGGAGATGTTAAAAAGATGCTCCTTTGCCCAAATCCTGAAAGTTAAATCTCAGTTAAACCAGGCCTCTAAGGCTCATTGTACTCTAATTCCCACAGTATCTACGAGTCCCTTATAGAATCTATGGACAAGAGGTATTACAAAGTTAGCTTTGAAACAAGCGATCAAATTTCATCCATCCCCTTGCCTTGTCAACTAGAATCCCAAAGTGTAAAGCAACAAAATTAGATAGGGGGAGACGGGAACAGAGTCAGAGAAATATGATCGGAAGTAAAAAACCATTTCCATCTGGAGCTCACAAAAGGTCTGGGTTACCGTCGGCTGCAAACTGCTGCTCTCCTGGTTGTAGATCTTGCCGGAAATCGTTCTCCTCATCTGAGTCATCTGGATGATGATGATTGTTGTCATGGATGTTGGCATTATTCTGGGCATTATTATCATTGTCATTGTTGGAGTTCTGGTTGCTTACAAGGGCCGAGGACACCCCGATTCCTGTGCCTGCACTCAGGCCAACTCGAGCACAGCCCTAAGGTAAAACGAAACCATACGTGTATTAATACCCCTTCGTTTCATCTCTACATAAGCATTATTTATATAGTATTTATTTATTAAATGCTTTTACATATGCATATGGGACTTCATTTAAGGCTTACAACATTTCAAGCAAGATAAATTATTATTCTTGATTAACAGAAGGTGAGATGCACGATAGGACGAGATCTGCCCAACAGCACACGACCCGGAAGTAGTGCAGCTGGGTTCTGACACCCAGTATTCTGACCTCAAGTCCCGAGCTTTCCCCACTATACTACACTGCTTCAGCAGTGGGAATGTAACCATTAAGAACTGACAAGACAGAATATAATTAGTTGAAACACTGACAGTATGAATTTTATATGGTAAGCACTTTTCAAATAACATTTTGTACAACCAGGAAACCTCGGATTTCCCAGAATATACAACTGAATAGCAGCGAAGTAAAACGTTTCCAAAATAAATTCCTAATTCTTATTTACATTTCGGGTTCCTGATTAGAGATTCAATCTCCCAACTAATTATTCTGAGTGATAATTTCTCTTAGCTCAATTTCCACCTTTGCTCTTAACTTACCTTCAGTCTATAGAACTGACAGAGACAGCTTTCCACTTACTTTTTCCTTTCCCTTCTTTGTAAATCCCTTAGTACTTACTTGCAAAAACAAGAGGCCATATATTATTATAACCTATTTATGACTTCACTGAGGCTGGCAGTAAAAAGTGCAATTACAACACTATAAAGGCATATTATTAGAAAGAAAAAATATCATGTAGGTTGTTTTGTTTTCTTAAATATCAAAATAAATAAATACTCTCTCAAATATGATTTACTTTGGGTGGTTCACGAAACATCTGGTCCAGTGAAATAAACTCCAGGCTGGGCAACAATTCAACAAACTGGCCAAAGGAGTCCAGCTTCAAAGCATGACACCGCACTAAGTTGATATCAACCAATCGAGTCCATCTTGAGTGGTCTGTTGATGAAATGGCCAGAGAGAATTTAAGTAACACTTTCTTCAGTACTGATGAATTTCGCTACTGGTCACACAAAGACTTTTAAATTGTTTAAGTAACTTTTCACTAATGATCTCTAAAACTTGATGACTATGATGTTTCCTTACCAAATTTCATTGTGAGAACTGGATAGCTTGGGAATCATTAACTCGAAACCAAGGCAACCTTGATTTAAATGTGACCAACACAACAACCTACATACCTATTCAACAGGACACTAGTGCATTCATTTAATATTACGTTATGCAGCTATTAAAAGAATGCAGAACTGAATATGCTTGCTAATATGGAAAGCTCTCCAAAATATTCCTAATACAAAAGACAAGCTACAGGACAGTGTATACATAGCAGGATCCTTTTGTATATAAAAATCATTTCTTAAATGGTATACATGTATAGGTTGTAATATGCACAAAATAATTTGTCCAGAAGAATATATAAGAAACTGTCGATGGTGGTTACCTTTGAGAAGAGGAGACTTTTCATTTTGTACCTTTCTGTACTGTTTGATATTGTTTATCAAGTGCATATATTACTTTTAGTTTTTAAATGTTAACAGGAGTTCTGAGTGATGGGATTATAGGCCATTTTTTGTGTTCTTCTTTATACTCTTCTGTATTTAAGAAAACAAACAAATCAAAAACCCAATAAATTTATTTTTTAAAGTGATCTACGCCTGCTACATCCTAGTTTATATTTCCCAAAAACCTCTTGGTATCACGAGGACAGAGATAGAATTTCACTTCTGGTGGATGAGACATGGCCATTCTAATGAGTGAGCTCAGTAGGGGACCCAGAGCCCCAAAACAGACCGGGAGACAGGCTTTGTGAGAGCTGCAGTATCCCTGGGAGACAAATCAGACAGCAGAGGAGGCTGTTCTGCAGTTGTCAGTGAGGGGGCTTGGTATGGTTAAAGAAGCAGTCACAAATGAAAATTCTCTAGTTCTGAATTTATTTAAAGGTGTGTGAAGTTAGGTATTTAAGAAGAGCCTTTAAAGAAATAAACAGTATTGCTATCTTAGGGAGGAAAATGAACTCCCCCCATAAAGAAAAATACCAAGTGCAAAAGTCACACTTCTGTACACAGGGGATGATGTAGGGAGAGGTCTGAAATAGCCTAGGATTTTAAGGCAGTAGAAAATTTTCACTACAAGTTAATGTTTAATATTATCACTTGATACACACACACACACACACACACACACAACCCTACTTTGTCCTTTCAGATGATGTGCCATTTGATATTCAAAGAGTTTAATATTATCTCTTGATACACACACACACACACACACACACACAACCCTACTTTGTCCTTTCAGATGATGTGCCATTTGAAGGTTATTCAAAGACAACAACTATAAGATCCCAGGCAATAGTTTCTAACCTTCGTTTTATGTGTCTGGCCCAAAGAAGTATATATAAAAATATATACTGGACAGGGCAAATTCCTAGGCAGAGAATTTCAGTTCGAAGAGGCACTGAATGTACTTCCAACTTGGTTATCAAAGGTTCCCAGAACTTGAATGAACAATTCATATAAAATATCTACATTTTATATTAGGAATGCAATTCATATAGCGCACACAGAATACAAAGATACAGGTTATCGTGACAAAAAAATATAGCGGTATTTAAGCCTACAATACCTGAGATCCAATTGTATGGGTTATGTAGATGGGGGCAATTGTAAATGGCCAGATATTTGATACAGGAAAAAACTTCATTGACTGCTTTCATCCCTATATCGGTGATGATACCAGGATTTTCTACCACATCAGCCAAACCATACTTCACCAGATCTGCATTAGCCATTCTGCCTAGAAAATCGATTAAAAAAAAAAAAGATTCTTAAATGTCATAAAGTGTTGCCAACTCTTCATCTTAACTTCCAGTATGACCACTCTCTATGACCACTCTGTCTTCTGTCCATCATCAGGTTCAGATTCATATATAATTTTAGGTTAAGTATTCTGTACAAATGGTAGCATTTATTTTGCAAAATAAGAATTTCTCAAGGAATAACTAGTAAGAAAAAAAATATTTCCAATTGTTCAGAAAAGGCAAAAAGAAATAAAAAATTCTTAAAGCAAAACTAAGAGATATATTGTATTCACATGCTCATGTTCTGGTTTTATTTTTTAAAAGAAAAGTAATAGCTTTAAATGTAACTCTTTCATAATGCAAGGATCATATTTTTGGAGTCAGGCACAGGCCATGTGTAGAGAAGAGTAAACTTTGAGAATTCAGATTTCATTTTTAGAGCCCATGACCTTGGTTAGTAAATCTGTATCTATCCCAAGAAAAGTGGACTTCTAACTAAAACACACCCACTCCTTCTGCCACTGGGCTTTAATGCCTCCTGTTTTGTCACAGACTAACAGGATGGATAAAATAAAAGGAGATCCTCCATTCTAGTTTAGGCCACTGAAATCACAGCTCATCCCTTATCTCCTATCACCATTTCTCCCATCTATCTGCCCTTTACTCACTAGGATGGCTCATTTGACTATGAACAATTTGAAGGAAAAAAAGAACTATATCTAGTTAGAAAACGGTTACATTTTCAATGTCCAGCATAGTGCTGGGGATATAGGAACTCGAAAAACGTCTCTCAAAGTCTTTGTAATCCACTGACACAAAGTGCAGAGAAAACACAGTTGCTCTGGTAAAGCTGCACTGCATATTACAGAGATTTAGACCTTTAGCTCAGAACATGCTTAAAACAATCAACCTATTCCAAACTCTTCCAATTTCACTTTCCATATAGCCCTTGGTCTCTCCTCTACAGTCCTCTTTTTTAGTATTTACTGGCATTTCTTGCAGATTTCACCTTAATCCCACCTTTACAATTTAGCTGAGCAATTTTCTTCAGCCTCCTCGTAAAAACAAATTTGTGCGAACAAAGAACCCTTCTCTAAATATTCAACCCTGGGTCACTTTTCTTATAGTCCTAATATACGGTAACTGCTTTTCACATTCATTTCCCCAGTCTGGCATTGTCACTTTTACCATAAATGTATGGAGAACAAAGATGACTTTTCTATTTATGTTTTGCTAGACTCTCTGTAATGAAAAGGTGATGCAAGTTTTACCAAGGCCACCCCCACCTCCTGGAGAGATGCTTCAAAATCTAAATTACAGAAAAGGATGATATTAAGTTAGAGTGTGAACAGTGACTTCTCATTCCTCTCTAGTCTGTTAGAGGAACCTGGCACCTATTCTGATATCCAGAATCCCAGGCTGTCTTTGAAGAAACAGAATACACATATGGAAAAGATAAATGAACAGCAAATGGAAAGAAAAGAACAGGTTATAAAAAGGTCAAAACTAAGACACTATTAAATATGAATTTAATAGTGAAATTATATTGAGAAGTACAAGCTAATAGTAATCAAATGATAAAGTATTTTCCTATTGAAAACATGTGTTGAAGGGAAAGAAACACCACAGGCGAATATCTGGTTATAAAGATAACTGTTGAAGACAATCTTCTCCTGAGCCTAAACATGGCTATCTTGAAGATACAAAATTTGTCGAGTTTTGAGCTTTTGGGAAGAACAAAAAACAAGATTATAGAAAGAACACCAATTACCAAGAGAATAATTTTGTTATTACAAAGACATTTTAGAACTATAGAGAATGTTAGCAACCTCATTCAAAATCAGAAAGGCTTGATATCAAATACAGAAGGTCCTCAAATAACATCATTTTGTTATAACACTGATGAGATGTTGTAGGAACTAAAATCTTGCTTATATCAATTAGCCTAAGGTAAAGTTGGTTTCATTATACGAATGCTGTTTCGCCTCAGTTTCAAGAACTTATCAAGGCCGTTATGGGAGGATTTACTGTACGTTGATTTGATACGAAATTACTAGTTTAGCACTTTAAAGTTATGTTGGTGAAAAACTTATCTTCTTCAAAGCTATATAGATTAAAAGTGATTTCTGTGTTAAATTGGTTAGATGATTTGATTTTTTTCATCCTTCAACTCTATGAACGTGAACTGCAACAAAGTGGAAACAAAACTGTTATTGTGTCATATATTAGAAATGAAAAAGGACAAGAGTCATGCTGTTTGGCCTGGACTGTCCTGACCAGAAGAATTAAGCCTTCTTATTATCTTCCACAATGCCAATTAGATCCAAGGAAAAATGCCCTCTGGTACAATGGTGAGAGTTTAAGAAAGACTTGTTGCAAATTACACGGCAAAGAAACATTCTTCCAAAAACAAACATGCTGGTGTTCTTGGGAAAAAGAGTTTGAATAATGAATTGACATGTATTCAACCCAAAGGAACGAGTTCCCCATTGTAAATACATTCTAGAAAATGCTATGAACAAGCCTTTCGACAGCAATCATCATTAAATGAATGTGGACCATTATATGCTCACACTATCTGGAAAATCCAGAACCCCAGTGGGCTTAATATGGAAATGAAGAGCATGGGCAGGGAATGGGACTTCATCTGAGAGGACTATCAAAAGCTTCAGTAAGTGTGGGAGATCAAATTCAACAAATGGAACCAAGGATGACATTCTGTGAAAGAAATGAAGCAGAATGGGATAGAAACTTGGGCAGCAAAGTGGAGGCAATATCAAATGTAGATGAGGGTCTTTTTTTGGTATACTGTTAGTCACCGCATCTTCTATAATATGCTAAAATCAGAGGCAACACTAAAAAAAATCAGTGATATTTCAAGTTTAAATTAAAATTTTCTTTTTTTTTAAGAAGTAAGAGCAACTAAGATTTTTAAGTTGTCTTATATTCAGGAAAATATGACACATCCCAATTCAGGTTTCAGTTTGTCAAGTAAGTTCCCTACAGCAATTCAAGAAAATAAAACTGAATAAATAAGTCTTACTCTGCAGCAAAAACTCATCTACATATCCCAGATGAAGGGTTTCAAATTGGGGGAACTCCAACTCTGCCATCTTTAAGGCAGAGAAGACACCATCTTTGGTTAGAGAAGGCTGGATCCGAACTTCATGTAACCTATGAACAAAGAGATACACATCAGAGTAAAATGAAAGCCATCAGAATCAAAGGTTCTTCTTAATGTAAAGCTCTGAAAGAACTTTATCTTCTGAAGTGTCAAATGTAAACAAGTTTCCCTCCTCCGTTAAAGACATGTTTCCTTTAAAGCAGCATTTTGCCAAGTATGGGCACATCTTAGGTGGTACACTAAAGATATATTAAATAACATTGAATTAATTACACAGTGCTTCCTTAAATCTGATTAAGTCAAAGTGGGAATCTGTGTCTGGTGTCTGATATTTCTGTAACATTTTTTTTATGCTAGCTGTTAAGTTCCATTTTAACAAAGAGTACAGTTCCACAGTAGGTAACAATATCTACTAACTTAAACTTAGAAATGGTTTAATTTATATTCTTAATGTTCTACTGATGGAAAGAGTTTTGTTTTTGAATAAATTGAAAAAATGGTTAATTCAATTTAAATAAATTGTAAAAGTGAAAGTAGAGGTAGACTTGGTAACATAGGAAATAGTAAATGTGACATAAAGTGATATAAAAATGTGTTAAGAATATAAAGGTGCTATAAGGTCAGGACTCTGAAAAAGATGATTTAAGACACTGATTTCTGAATAGCAAATATTATTTACAACTAATTAAAACAAGTCATAAAATCGTAGAGGTTGAGACAATGCTTCCTGAGAGGGATGCAGGCACCAGAGCGTCAATGCTGACTTCTGTTGGACTCAGGCATTTCCAGCTAAATGACTGGTTTTCTCTGCTGAGACCATGCCCTGTGAGAGCTTGCTAGGTCTGGAGTGCAGCTCAGTTAGTCATTAGTTATGACATAAGTAATAACCCTACTACTATTTAAAAACTCCTTTAAATTTTAAATCTGAATAAGGCATGATCCAATTTTATACACACATTCCCTCAATGTTTTGTAAAAGAGGAAAAAACAATTCTAAAACAGGAAAAAAACAATTCTAAAACAAAAAGTGAAGAGGAAACATACCTACGAGCAGCAGTGATAATGAGGTAGCCAAGATCCACTTCCAGAGCATTTTTGCAAGCTCCCAAAACAATAGTGTGCAAATTTCTAAAACCACCTAGTAAAAGGAGAACAGGAACAAAACAATAAACATTTTGTTTGACCACAGCATTTTTATTAAACATTTATACACACTTTAGATGATAACTATGTTTAAAAGTAAATGTAAGTTTGTTTTTGCATTCAAGTTAATATCTCAAGATGAATTATGACTACTATTCGTTTCCTAAAAATTAGATGAAAATGAATATTGTCATTCTGAAAAGCCATTCTGGTGGTATCTCAAAATGAGTCCAAATTATTTAGACATTTAAGTAAGAATTTTCAGTAAGCCACAAAGAAGCTCATGATGGACTTGTAAAGAAGGAATCCTGGCATTTTCTGGCCAAAGTTTGAACCTCCATTATAAGGAATACAATCAGCACTACTTTAACTTCAACTGGTTTTGTTTCATGTTTTTGAAACTTGTATAGAGCCAAAAAAGTACATAAACTATTAATGTGTACATAGCTCAATGAATTTTCACGAAAGATTGATTTGTTTTGAAATTTCATAAATAAAATCACACAGTATGTACACTTTTGTGTCTGGCTTCTTTTACTAAACATTTAGTTTATGAGATTCATCCACATTGTTGCACACAGCTATAGTTTGTTCAATCTCATTGCTGTTGGTATTCCATTGCATGAATGTGACATCATCTTCCATGCTGAGAGGCATTTGAGCTATTTGCATTTTAGGGTTATTATGAATGTTCCTATGAACAATCTTCAACGTGTCTCCTGGTGTACACATGTATGCATTTCTGTTGGGATTTAAAGTGGTTTTTTGTTACTAATGGTACTTGACGATTTTCCATTTATACTTTGGATATCCAAAGTTAGATTTTTAGTTTTCAACTATTAATTATCTACCTAGCTAAATTTCTTGTTTTTTTTTTTTTTTTTTTTTTTTTTATTTTTTTGTTGCAATGAGAAGACGATGAACATGGAGAAAGAACATTCTATTACATATCATTATTTAAAATATAACTAAGGGACCTAGAAAATAAAACATGTTTTTTTCTTTTAAAAGTCATCATCTGATCAACAGATCTATATCGAAGTGATAAACATGAAAGCATTTTATATACTATAAAGTATTAAACAAATGTGAGATATCGACATTACTAATACCTGAATTCTTTTGTAGGCCTAAGGTATTCAAGCCAAAAAAATACCCTTTATCACCAAAGGGCACTAGACATCCGTTAACATTTCTCAGAAAGATTCCAAATATAACATATTATTAACTAAGTATTAAAAAGCCAAAAAGCATGCTTATCACTTTACTTTGAGAAGGTTTAACACTGCACAAAAAAGAAATGAATACTAGTCCAAGCTCATGGTTATTCTCTATGAAATACCAGACAGAAAGTACAAATTACTAACAAGCATATTCTTTTAAAAAACTCAAAAGAGAAGTAAATGCTTAATGTTTTTAAATTAATTTTTTAAATATTAAGTAACTAAAGAAAAATGAATACCTGATCTCCAACTGTCTTCAACTACATGCTGGATAAGACCTCCAAGGAAAGGAACCCGAACCATTTCCAGATGTTCCAAGTTTCGGGCAGAGGCTAAGCCTGTTACTAAAGGAACATATTTCAAGGAGTTTGTGGGTCCTGGGGGGAAACAAACAAACAAACTAACTTCAAAACAAGTTCAAAACAAATCAATGAAACAATATAAATTGCCTTACAGATGAATTTTCAAGTCAGCAACTGAAATAAATAACTTATAAATTCTATGTCAGAAGATGACAGCCAAGTTATGGGTCTCTGCAATTTCTACCTATTAAAATGACAGTATTAGCCTGTTAATTAATAACATTGGAAAGGTATTTAGTATTTTTTGTAAATTCCCAGAAGTCTCAATAGTTTTTAGTTCAAATTAACTAAGGGGGCAAAGGCCAAGTTGAAAATTTGATCCTTCACTCAAGTAAATAGCGCGATCATTTAAGTGTCTCTACGTAATGAGATACTTAGGTGTTATGGAAGATCACAAAATATATGGTCTGATCCATCAAAGAGCTTGCAATTGACATGACGATAAAACTAACATTTAAAATTATAAAAAAGATAAAAGGACAGAACATATCAAGTACAAAAATAAGATCTTCTACATTAGATAAAAAAAGAAGAAAGAAGAGTAAGAGAAGTAGAAAGAGGTAGAACTTGAAGGCTGTATATAAGTAAAGAGGCAGAAGGAAGTGTCTAACTCAGGACAAGGACACGGTAATATAGTATAAGGAAAGACACTGAGGTGAAAGGCAGTTTAGTTGTACAGGGGCCAGTGCGTAGATAGGCCTGACTATGAAAGAAGGTATATTTTGGAAAGGAGTCAGCCATAAAGATACCAAGAGGTGCCCTCATTATTATGAACTCAGAAGCAGAATAGTTCCCACCTGACACTCTTGAAAAACAGAGACACAAGTTTCTAAACAGAAAAGTAGTACCATAAAAGCGGTGTTTTATGCTTTAAGGTATATTAGGTCAATTATTTACATGCAGAATGGTTAGGAGAGCAAAGACAAAGAAAGCAGACAGAAATCAATTATAACAATCCTATAAAATGTTAAAGTGCCTATAAGAAATATGTAGAGATACTGTGATGCCTTTTTTTTGAAATCTTTGCTAAGGGTCAAACACAAATCACATGTCTTAGTCTTTAAAACAAAAAGTACATTTATCTTCACAAGGTGAATAAGTTACAAAACATAAATAGTAACAGCAAAATATAATTTCATTTACAAACAGAGTTTGATTTAGGCTATTTTCAGAATTCCACCATAGCTAGGTACCATTACCTGCACAGTTCCTCATGACGAAGGTCCGTAAGCTGATGCAAAGGAAGTCCTTGAACGGCTGTGGTTTAGTGAGTCTTACCCACTTCATATAAAGGTGCCTCAGCATTGGAATACAAGGAATTTCGGGAACATTCACCCCTAAAACATACATATGAACAAGAAAATTACTAAAAGACACTACTCTGTGTATAAGTTCAAGAGCCCACTTTTCAAGTTGACAATTTATCCTTCATGGATGTTTTCATCAGAACTAATTACCTTAATTAACATCTATCGAGTTTGGCTTACTTAGAATAGTCTTGTAAAAAACAATTTAAATAAATTATAAACAGAACAGTACTTTGTTATTGTATATTGTGTACACATAAGTCTTTCTTATAACTCTACAGCCTTTTCAGGATACAGCTGCCCAGCAGATACAAAATGAAAATAGGTTATTGAAAGCAAAATTAAAGATGTAGTCAAATTACTATTTGACTACCAATTTCCCACCAGGGGGAAAACTAAATTTCTCAGCACAAAGGCAGGCTAACTGCCTTTAAATATCATTGTTTCTGGATGAGAGACAGAGATTGAAGCTATTTCTACAAATGTATGAATCTTAAGGATTTGTAAATATGTGGTTGGAGCCAGTCAGCATAATCCTGAGAAAGTGAGAAACTCATCAGTTATCTATTTTAATACTTCAAATTGATAGAGGTATTTTATCTTTCTGATCCAGGACTGGTTTAAAGTTGGGAATCATACCTGAAAAGGACCATGTCTGGAAGAAAGAGGATGTAGAGTGGGAGGAAAAGTCAGGAGATATAGTAGAAGATGATAGGCAGAACTTATAAATTCTAAATGGAAGGAAGCAGTTCAAGAAACTTGCCCAAGAGTCTAAATACCAGAGGATAGAGAAAAGCTGAGAAGTGATACAAGTCTCTGAGAGAAATCTAAGGATCCAGGGTAAAGGTATTTAACAAGCAGTAACAGGCAAAAACAGTTGAATGCAACTTTTAAACTTGAGTCAGTAGAAGCCCTGCTAGCAACAGTAACTAGGGAAAGCAATAACAGAGTCCTTGAAGGACAGGTTCTTTAAAAGCTAAATTCTACAGAAATCTCGTACTGTACAGATAACTCCTTAACTTGGTCCTCCCAAAAAAGCAGTTAACTTTAGCTCTGAACTATGCACACATATTGTATGGCAACAGATGGGAAGTAAAACTGGGGATGAGACTAAATGAAGAAAAGCAGAGGAAGTGAGGTACAGATCGAAACTCAAAATGCAGAATCCACAATGTATGTTTAGCATCCACCACGTTGGTGGTAGTTCTGATTAGGAAACTCAAAGGCAGGAAGGATGAGACAGATCCAGACAGTTATATCCTATGCTCAATCCACATTGTGCCCCAAATCTATACTATATAAATAAAGGACACATGCCTGTCTTCCCCAGCATGCTCATTCATTTATTATACACATTTGTATCACTACCACAGTGTTAAAGTGTTGAATGAATCAAATGAATTAATGCATTTCAATACAATTTACCAAGTACTTACATTTGCAATGAACTGTGACAGGAGTCATGGGAAATATAAGGATATAAAAACAGTCTCTGACTTTACAGAGCTTCTATTTATAAACTTCAGATATTACAGAATCCCTTTATTATCTAAAATCCAATTTCAAACTAGATAGCCAAGATCCTAATCAGAACAACTACTTGATCTTGTAAATGAAAGGGTAGCTGGAAGACTTTACTCTTCTTCCATAATTGTACACACAAGACTTAAGACCTACTCCTTATCATCCCTGCTGGTGTCCCTCCACCCTGACCCAGTTTCAGTAACTTCCAGTTCTTCAGAACCATCCCCCAAGTATCTGGAACAATGCTTGGAACATAGATACTCAATACATGTTTTAAATAAATTATTTAATAAATAAATATTAAAAGTCACACTATAGTAATAGGAGTCCCCTAAATTCCTTCCAGCAATCTAAGCCAAAGTCAACAAATTAAATTTGAGAAAATATCTACCTTTATCATTTACTTAGGTTGAAATTATTGAGATATAATATCAGAGAATATTTACATGGGAACTATACACTGTGACCATTGCAAATACAGTGCCCTTAGAAAAAGACCAGCCCTACCCCCTCGCCCCCCAGAAAAAGGGAAGTGGCAGACTTTTCCATTGGCTCTGGGTGAAAGAACACAGGGGAATTTTCTGTTTGGAGAAGATACAAGTAAATTAAGAGCTATGAAGGATTATTTTTACTCTGCAATGTTCTAGAGCTCAGCTGTATAATAAAGGGGGCACTAGCTCCATGTGGCTATGTGATAAATTAACATAAAATAAAATATTCAGTTCCTGTTTCACTGGCCACAGTGGGAACCATATGGGGCAGTACAAATATAGGACATTTTCAGCATCATAGAAAGTTATATTGGCGAACTCTCCTCCAGAGGGTAGAACGAGGACCAGAAGGTGGACATTAGGGAACAAGGGCAGGATTTAAGCTCAAGAAGAAGCCACAATACAAAAAAACTAACAATTTTCAAAACTACTCAAACTGTCTGCAAAAAAGGAATCAATCAGTCGTGAAGGAATATTTCTCTCACTGTCTAACCCCCACCTAAAGCTCTTTAAAGGGAAATTTTTATGTAAGTCTCGCAAGCTATCTTCTGCGATCATCAAAGCCATTTCTAAAATTCTCATTATTCCCTTGCAGTGAATATTCAGTTATATGGCATTTCAAGTGACCAAGAAACATGTACTCACCAACTAAATGTAAAGTTTGAATTTTGGCTCCTATAGGAATTTTCAGTTTATTTTCAGGAGGAATTGGAAATGCTCCATTACGATTACGAAATTTCCCCAAAATATGAACATGTGGCATGTATGTCCAAATGGATTCTACTAATTCCAAATGAGAAGTCTCCACACCCTAGAAAATAATGCCAAAGCAAGCATGAGAAAGGCTTTATTTTAGCATCCAAAGTTTCTATTTCTGTATCCTGAGATTATTAAGGATGTAATGAAACTTCAAAGTCTGATATGAATGAAATTTACATGTGAGTGAACATGTTCTAATATTCCTTTGATTTATTTCATCAATTAGTTGATGTCAAATGTTCAACCAGATGTACTCACCACTAAGTTTGGGCAGGCCTGCAGAGCTTCCAGAACCCCTGGAATGCTAAAAGCTTCATGGCCCCGTACCCTTCGCCTCTCCAGGTATCTAGGGTGAAGGCCATATAGCTGTTCAACGTCTGGCATCTTCTTCAATAGTGTTAGAAAACTGGAATCTGTGAAGCCTGAGAAGTTCAAAGGTATTTAGAGCCAGGTTCATCTTTCTGCCTGTCAACATTTAGTAGGCACTTGCAATTTTCATCCAAAGTTAAAACAATAAAAAAAAATTTCCTTTTTAAATTTTCGTAAGGCTGACACTGCTGAACAAATGGCTAAATAGAAAATATATTCCTTTAGTAACAGAGGACGTGTGTAAGAAACTCTTACTTACTCTGAGTTAATATTTTATAGTTGAGGCTTTTAATTTATTATTGCCTTTTTTGTTCTTGTTGCTGCTTTTAAGGCACAGAAATCTTCGACTAGGAATAACACACTTTAAATCCAGATAAATTGGACCTATTTGATTGGTAGGTGAGGAAGGACCACTTATCTGATCAACATCACCCTCCTCTCCTCCCTAAAAAGTACTTTCTGGTCCATAAAATCTCAAGGGCTCTGCAAAGCATGCAACTAAAAAATGAGATGTGTCCCTCATCTTCAGGAAGTGTACAGTTCTAACCTAAATCCCATCTCAAACTAGGTTCTCTTAGTCTATACATTTCCTAATAATTCCTCTGCCCTGGGTTTAACTATCACTCACTGGACATTTTAAATAACTCATTCTTTTGAAAAAGATGGAGGCAAGTTGCTACGAGAACATAAGTGATCCAAACTGAGAGGATGCTGAGCTGGCAGAGGGCTGCTTATCTGTGAGATTTTCTTTTAAGACAAAGAAAATCTCAAAAAAAAAAAAAAAAGTAGGAAGAAAAAACTCAGTGGAGGCCAGCCATGCTCCATAGCAGGTGACTTCCACAGCAGATGTTGGGGAGACGAGTCTCATACAGATGATACTTTATTACCTGGGGCTTTTTGTTTTTAATGTAGGCTCTCAGAAAGCCAACTGACTGCTCATGAATGACAAATAAAAATATTAACACTCACGAATAAAAATGAAGCCCCCAATCACAAAGCCTTACACACTGAAGTTCTCAAAAGTTGTTCTATTTGTACAAAGCTAGTCCAGGTGATACATTAACTTTAGATTCACAAAACTGAAGAGTAAGGAGGGACCTCAGAAATTACTTGGTCTGACATTTCATATTAATATCTTGTATAATAATCTTCACTGACTGAACCATTCAGTGTTAACCATTTTACGTTTTCTCATCTATTCCTACAACCCACTGAAAAAGGTTATCACCCTATTAATAAATGTACAAAATGAGCCTGAAAGAGTTTAAAAGCTATCAAGTGGCAGAGCCTGAATTCAAAACCAAGTCTGATCATTGCCAATACCCATACTTTTATTGTCCATTATATGTTGCCTGTCACTAAAATGTGGTTAAAATTCAACCTTCTTTATAGAGATACAGTGAGAATCCAAAGAGACCACCTGTAATTGTGGATCAGGCTGATGTAGCGCCTTAAGGGAGCAGGATATGAAAACAACAGACCACTAAAACAGTAAAGCATCAGGCAAAATGTATTTTATCAACCTAAACCAACCTAAATAGTTCAGATAAAATCCTGCCTCCCTACCTACAAGGTGATTCCGACTGCCTCTCTCCAGGCAAATAACATTTGAAGAGAGCATTACTGTTAGTTTCCAGTAGGGCTCCACCATACCTTACAGGTAAATCCACTCACCACTTGGCATGTATTCCCACCATCGCCCTGCACAGAGATCCACAACCCTCACAACTCTCAGATACAAGGTCACTGCTTCCTTTAGCTTCCGGGAAAGACATTCCATACACATGATATCCTGCAGAGGGAGGTACCTTTGTGAGAGAAAGAAACTCATATTTATCAAGTGGGTAAGTACTTCCTCTCCCTAATGGGTTATTTTTTCCTTCCCCCATTTTCCTACCCCTCAGATGAAATAAAAACCTGAGGAATTCACAAGGTTTTAAGATTAACATGCATATATGGCTTTTTACTAAAAACATGTAAGTCAGCAAATACTCAAGTACTGGGTTCTCTCCATAGTGCATTTGCTAGAACCTGTCTTTCTTTTAAGTTTTTAAGACAAAGAAAATCTCAAAATAAAAAAAAAAAGTAGGAAGGAAAAAAATCAGTGCATTTTAAGGCAAATAATAAGAAAATATGAGGAAGATCAGAACTGATCGATTTGAACATGGCCAATGTTATTTCATAGTTTTTACAGAATCTACTTCCTGTAATGACTAAAATATTCCTGTCTGCTCCCTCAATATCACCCATCAACAAATATGTATACTAAGTTCATACTACATAATTTTTTTCCTAGATCTTTTACCTTTTAAATCACACATTCTGATAAAAGTATTGCATAAGCATTAAGTGAGAATACCTCATCTGAATTACAATTTCCTTTTTTCCAATCTCCTGTTAGTAAACTTTTCACCTAACCTCTACTTTTGTCATTTCCAGTAATACCTATATATTGTGAAAGCTCAGAAAATCTCATTCTCTTCTCTTTCTTAATACTCCTCCAGCACACTTAAATTATTTTTTTAAATTGTAAAAACTACCCTTTATTGAACTGGTATTGTGTCACAGACCCTGTACAGAAGTCATTGTTTCAAAATTTTACAAAGTAGGTTGTTCTTTGTTTATCACACAGTCCTCCCCCAATCCTTTTTCTTCCTTTCTTGGCTCTGCTGTGTTGACTCTTGACTTTGGCCAATGTCAGGCGTGGCAAAGGCTTTCTGCTTGTTGCTGGGCCCCTAGTTGAATTCGTCAATATTCCTCATTGATTCCCTTAACCCTACCTACATCTCTCTAAATAGTCCCTTCATTAAATTATCTTCAAATTCCAGTCGAGAGTATCTTCTTTCCTGCTAGAATCCTCACTGATAAATTAGGTGCTCTAATTATTCTATTTTGCAAGTAATGGAACTTGCTCAGAAGAGTTAACCTGCAAAAAGTCAACAGCTAGGTAAGAGGGAGGAAGAGCAGGATGTCGACAAAGTTGGGTCTGAGTCTAATTCCTAAAAATTAGGCTAATTCTAAAAGAAGTCCAGGAATACCTGCTGAATATTTCTGAATATTTCTCTACTCTATTTTTTCTACCTCTGGCTTCTTTCCCTTCTCCTTGAAAACTATTCAAATAAAGAGAATCAAATCAAATTCTCTGCCAAAAAAAAAAGCATCACTGCTAACTTAATGTACAGTCTCAATTATTTAGATATAAGTAAGGTTAATTTTCAGAAACTGTACATTTTACAAACAATGAAAAATGCTGAATTTGTTTTAAATGAAGTTTTGCCATTAATACGTTTTCCCTCTCAAATCGTGATTTTCCAAAGTATGTGCCTGAGTTAATATTATACTTCCTTTAAATACAAACGAATTAGTAATCACATAAAGCTTATCTTATATCGTATTTATCCTTAGAAAAAGAAATGTACTTTTTCTTCATATACAGTCAGTAAGCTAGAGTTCAAAAGGCAGAACAAATACATTTTAGAGAAGATGTGTTTAACACAGCACATACAGCAAAGATTAGGTTTCTTTTAAGGAAGCCATAGTTTTTGTTTCATGAAAACGTGCTAAGTAGTTACTACAGAAGTACAACATGGGTTCTCAGACAAAACTTTAGAAGCCAAAAACTACATCTTTTTTAGAATATACATCTCGTACTAAGTTCAAGTATCAGCTTAGTTCACAGTTCTTACATTCTGCCAATTTGCTGCATGTTTTTTAAATTTTAACCAAGGTAACATCCTTCTAGATCCCAATCCTTCCATTTGACATTCTGTTTAAACTGCAAAATGTTATTTGATCCACTCTCAGTTTAAAATATGGTCCCAATTGTTCATAGTATGTCCTATCATTATTCAACAAACGTTTAACACATGTCTGGAAATAATTTTACCTATGATTTCTTCTAGAATTTTAATACTTTTAGTTTATTTCATTGATGCATTTAGAACTTACTTGTCAGATATGAGAGATAAGAACATGTTTTTATTTCTCCAAATGGTTTTGAGGTTGTGACATCATCACTGAATAATCTACAAAGCTTTTCCTCACTGATGTGAATACCAAGTTTATCATAAACTTGATCCTCACATATATATATATATTTGAGTGCACATATGGAGCCTACATATGGAATATGTCTGTTTTACTCAACTGTCTGGATATCTTCTCCAATACCAAATTTTTAATTATTGCATATTTTAGAATATACTTGAACATCTGGTAAGGTTAGACTGTTCTTGCAAAATAAAATTAGCTATCCTGACAGACACTTTAGTATAATTTTGTTATATTAAAAAAATATATGTTATTTTAATTGGACCTTCTATTCCCAGACAGAATTTAACTAAGAAAAACCACACTATGTCATAGAATAACAAACTGCAGAAGATGAAGACTAATACAAATTTATATTAGAAAAATAAAGTGCCCATGGTTCCCCAAAGTAGTTCTACTCACTATTTTAAAACTTTTCATCTGCAAATATTTGATAATTTTTAAAAATTCAAAACATTTCTCAGAACTTTATATATTCCCTAGGTAAATAATCTAAAATAACTGAAAATTCAGATGCTTAGAAAACTTAGTTATAATTGTGTAAGAGAAAACACTGGAAATAATCCAGACACCAGGCAATTATCATGTCATAGGACTAGACCACAGTGACTACAATGATAATTAAGACCATGTAGCAATTTGAAAAAAGGCAAACACAATCCTATCCATTAATACTTACCAAGTATTTAAGCCATGCAGTGTGTTAAGTGCTTTAAAAGCATTATCTCACTGAATCCTTATAACAACACCTTTATAACTAATATTAGTCTACAGCTAGTACATGAGAGACTCAGGATTCAAACTTGGGTCTCTAACTCCAGACATAAAGCATATTAGGAATTGTTTATTTGAAGGGAGCAGGGGAAACTAGAATGACGGTTTCGTTTTTTGGATTTTGGTTTGTTTTTTTTTTTTTTTGGTTTCTTTAACTATTGTCATAATGTAGTTTGGATAAAAATATAATTTAAAAAATTTTTGAGAAAAGCTTATCACAAAATAACTTTAATGTGTGTACTGCATATGGTAATAATGAGTATTACTGCAAAAAGGTTTTTTCAGTCACTTACATATACGTATATACTGAGAAAAATGTGTTTCTCACTGTGGGTTGTAGTAAAAAGTCAGAAACGCTGCCTATGTACACACAATACTGTAATAACAAAAGTCAACAAATCTATCAGTCGATATGAATTCCAAGTAGCGTGAAATATTAACATAATCTAGAGAAAGGCTGTCCAATAGAACTTTCTGCAACAAAAGAAATATTCTTTATCTTCACCATCTATGCTGCCCTATACAATAGCCACTAGCCACATACGGCTAGTGCAACTGAGGGACTGGATTTTTAGTTTATTTAATTTAAATTTAAATGTCACATTTAGCTAGTGACAACCATATTGGACAGCACAGCTCTAGGACTGGTTCTTATACATTCTAGGTAGATGAAAGTCAATCAACAAAATCTTACCTAAAAATATGGCAAAGCACTTCATGTGAAAGTTGATTCATGTAATCCTTCGTCTCATCTGACATTGCTTCCTCAGGGGTCTCATTATTCATGAGACATGTTTTAACACTTTTCTTTCGTGGGCCCATTGCTGCGTTATCTCCAGTATCAAAGAACAAATCTCCCCTCTTGGTTACTTGAGTCCAAAGTACCTGAATGCAAGCAGAGAACAGACTAAAGCACCAAACGCGGATGCAGAGATTAACCTTATAAAACCTAGGAAAAACATTTTTTTTAAAATACAAAAGTAGTGTTATTACATTATTACAGACCAGAATCAAATTAATAAAAACATTACACCAAAGGAGAACACAGTTTTCTGAAGAGCAGTAGAGAATATAAAAATGCATTATTCAGGAAGAGCAAAAATCCTAGGAACCACGAGTCCTGGATTCTAATTTTTACTCTGATTCTTTCTAGCTAATTCATTCAATTTCTCTAAGTATCAATTTCTTCATATGTGAGGTAAGATCTCTCACTTCCTACAGTCATTTGATTGGCTATTCTTATCAATTTCACCACAATATTGATCTTGCATCCAATCCCACTGGCTTCCGGGCTTCTATGAACTCTCATCTGGGCTACTGCGATGGCTTCCTAAATTATGTCCACCACTGTATCCCCAAGGCCTGGAACAAAGCCTATCACACACTAGGCCCACAATAGGTAATTTGCTGAATAAATGTTTACCATACCACACTGAAGTTAGAGTTATCTTTTAAAAACATTCCTCTGATTGCATATTAAGTGAAAAGAGCAAGGTTTTGAATTTGCATAAAAGAAAGGACAAAAATGTTTGTGTTTGCATGGGACAATTCTGGAGTATCTATGACAAAATATTAATGTGGTTAACCTCTGGAGAGTGAGAACAGAGGTTTAGGAAAGCAGAAAAGAGACTTTTACTTTTCATATTCTTCTCCACTGTTTGAAAATTTTAGATTGGCCTACTTTACTATTTCATTTCTTAAAACACAAAGACCAAATCAGCCTGCAAGAAATCCTAGTTTCTAGGATAAAATCTTTCAAATCTGGCCTCAAGCCCACTCTCCGATCTCATCTTTCAATCCCTACCACTTGCTCTCAGGACACTCACTCCAGCAGGACCACTATCCTCAGTTCTCACAAACACTGATCTTTCATTCCTAACAGGCTATTAACTGACTAGAATGTCCTTCCCTGCCCTTCCTTTTTTTTTTTGCCTAGAAAACCACTAATTTGTTTTGTTTTGTTTTTCTTAATTTACCTTGAAAATCTAGTTTAAATGTTAAGTCTTTGTGAAAACTTTTACTTATCCCCTCTTTGAGCTCCCTGGGAGACTTACCATGTGCTTCTACTATAGCAACTTGTGTAGTATTTTATTAGTCAAGTCTCTGCCAGGGAAAGGAAAAGAATCTCAATCTTCTGCCTCTGGGTGCTAAATCCTTGCTCATAACAAATCCTCAAATGTCTGATGTATGAATATCCACCAGTCTTCCCATTACTCCACATGCAACTGGTAGCTAAGAACCATTTCATGCTCCTATTTGCTATCACAGCACTCAATGATCTCAGCAACAAGCCTGTACCCCTCGCAAAAATATAATCAGATTTTACTCCAATAAGGACACCAAACAAACAGCCACCCTGCAGCATGTAAATGACTCAACAAGACTATTAACCAGTACAGAGCAATCCAACCATGGACTCTTCTCTAGCTATCGTATTTTAGCACATGCTTCGCCTTTAAGAATCTTGACAACTCAAACCATTCACAGATACCATGTTCTTGACCTTTCATCCTTTAAGTAAAAATCTTTCTTAGCCCTTTTCCCTTTTCTTTACCAAATCCACACCACTTAATAATTTACACCCTCATCTCATGATTCCACTTTTTACTGTCCCTTTTTATTTTGCAATGTTGTGGTTTCGTTTGAACCACTGAGTAGCCCCAGTGCACAACTTACATTTGAATGTTTAAACCATGCAAGACATGCAAAGTCCCAAGTGGGGACAGTGTCTCTCTTGTATGTGCACTCCCTCTCTGAACTGCTCTTCTCAGTGGGGTGAGGAATAAGAACAAGTGAGAACAGGAGATGGCCACGACCAGCCTCCTATATCTTGGTTTCCTCCTACCCCTATCTCCTAAAAATATCACCATGTGCCACTTGGGAAACTGGACAAAGTAGGGAAGGTTCAAAGCAGCAGTAGGCTAAAAGGGGGAGAGGAAAGGAGGGAAATTCCAGTTATCGACAGTAGATAAGGGTGCCACATGGCAGCTGGCCCAGCAGAGGCATCATGGAGGGTAAGGGAAAGGCGACTATTAATAACAGGTGAGTGTAAATATGTGCAGACTACAATCTGCAGACTAGGTATAATTCTAGGGTTAGCAAGTTCTGGAGGCTTAGACTCAAAACCTCAAAGAAATGTCATTCTGACAGAATTACAGAACCCTGGAATGTTAAAAAGTAAAAGGGGCTCTCAGAGACTACCTAGTCACACTGTTCTTAATTTTTCTGTGAGCCACAAACCCATCTGAGACTATAATGAAAGCTGCACATCATCTCCCCAAGAGAAAAACAAACATAACCAGACTCACGTATGCTGAAATACACATATACAATTTCGGGGGCTTCGCAGACATATTGAAGCTCAGCTAGAAGTCTCTTTCCAAGACTGGCTTTCTCAATTTTCAGATAGACAAGAGTACCAGAGAGGATGTCACTTGCCCAAGGGCATATATTAAGTGTCAGCGCTCAGGATGGGATTCAGACTCCCAATCCACACTACACATCCTATCATCAAGTCAATCGTCTGCACCTTGGCTGTCTCCCTGCATTCCAGAACTATGCCCCAGTGCTTGGAGATGGCCTTCTGCAAGGTCTGATAAAACTGTGACTGACTGTATCCTCCTTTACAAAGTAGGGTTTGTGGTCCATCTAATATAGGCTCCCACACAGTAGCCTACAGCATCCCTGAGTATCCTACAGTCATTCTGTGGCTATCTGTTTAACAGACCTTAGCCACAGGAAGCATCATTTTTCTCCTGGCAGCCCAAGTACATTCTTTATAACCCTGTGTTGTTTGTGAGTATTTTTTGAACCAGGGTCCTTCCATGACACAACGCTCTTCTTCTAATCTGCCAGTTCAAATCTTCTTCCATCCCAAACCAATCTACACTATCCTCTATGAACTCAATTCATTCTGTTTGTTCCCAAATTGATCTCAACTTTTTTTTTTTTGATCCCAATCTTTTAATCTTTAATCCTCATGGCTATCTCCGGCTGTTGTAAGGAAGCACCAACATTTTCTTGCTTACAAGATCAAGTTATTCTCTTTCTGATCCTCTATTTCCATTATAGAGGTTTTAACATTATTGTTCACCATTCTCACAATCGCTGATACCTATAAAAGACCCATATAAATTCACTCCCTTCCACCCTAAATGTCATGACTAAAAATCTTCCTATACCTGTTCCAACATCCTCCTCCATCCTGGACTTATTCTACTAATTACTCCCTTACCCAGATCATACCAGACCCTCCAGGGTATGTGTTTGTCCCTTATTACAAACTTTATAGGGCAGAGATAAACCAACTTACCTTATAACTAATCGGAAAATTTAGGAACCTCTTCTTTTATAAAGTATTCACAATTCAGTATCAATTTCTCATTCTGTATCTAATTAATAGCAAATCTATGGAGAAGCTCTTTTCTTTTATTGATTGCTACTGTCTGTCTGTCCGTCCATCCGTCCATCTGTCTGTCCGTCCATCCATCCACCCACACACCCATCCATCCTTTAAGTAATCATCCCTTCACTCTATTATTTATTTACTTACTTCTAAGGACTAGGGGGAGACAAAGTCTCTCTTCCCATGAAGCTCACAGTCTCAAAGTGGAGAAAGATTCTACCACCAGTTTCTTACAACTCAGTCTTTACAATTATTACAACTTAAATTACTTTTCAATGCCCTCACCAAAAACACTTATCTCCCATTTAGAACTTCCCAGTGTCCCCATCGTGCTATCTAGTCAAGGGCTTCCCTGCCTTTCAGGTTTCTAATGCCTTTCTTCAGTTTCGAGTGGCTTCAGCTTGCTCATATCAAAGTAATCTTTCATGTCACTTAATATGACCCCATTTCTCACTTCATAGACCTTTTATGTCTCCTACTTAGGCAGCCTCTCTTGCCTAAAGAAATAACATACCACAAGCTGCTTAGATAAAAACAAAAAACAAAAAAAAAAACAAAAAAAAAACCAAACAACCCCAGAATTATAGTACCAAAAAGGTCAAAGAATCTAGTCCTACCCTTCATTTTCCAGATAAGGAAATTGAGGCCCAGAGAGGTAAGCTGGGTTGCCCTGAATCACAAAGTCAGAAAATGCAATGCTAAATGGAGCAAGAATCCTGGTCTTCAATTCCAGTTCAAGTCCAATTTTATTTCACTATGCCACTTTACCTTACTGAAACAAATTTCCTTTTTCTCCTATTCTATACCTTAGTATCTCTTTTACCAAAGATAAAGTGTGTATCTCCAGATACACAGTCATTTAACAAACATATGCACAAAAGTCTATATTCTTTATCTAAAGAGGACATAAGGATCACAATATCACAAATATTAAAGAAAAGGAAGGAGCCTTAGGGATCTCCTAAACCAGAAATTGTCAAAAATGAAAGTTAAAAATTATAAGCACAGATTTTTCAATCTATATGACTACATATGTATGTTCCACACCACACTCTTCTCCCAGAACATCATGGCCTTATAGAGCCATTGTTTTATTCTACAGTTGTGCTGAGAGTATGTGAAAGAGGACTAAGAACCAGTGACCTAACCTTCATTTGCCATATGAAAAAATCTCAAGTCCAGCGAAAGGAAGAGATTTGCCCAAAGTGAACCAGCAAATTAATAACAAGTTTTAAGACAAAAGAAAAACAAGGTCTCCTATTTTTCATATTGGTGTTTTCTATGCGTTTCTAAAACAAAGTCTTCAGGATTGAGCTTCCCACTGCACAGGAAGCACAGGAACCTTCTATGTGCTCAGTTGCCCTTGGCCGGCTTGCTGTCTGGAAAGAAACACGGTAGACGTCTCTTATCAGTCAACTCCTGGCTATGCAGGATGCAGGAAAGGCATGCTTTTCAGGACTGTCTCTAAGGAAAGGCTCCATGAAAGGGGAGCTGTGAATCTGATTTTCAGAGCTAGAAGGGACATCAGAGGCATCCGCCACATTTATTTTACAGCTAAGCAACCTTGCCACATAAAGGATAATGGACCTGGGCGAAGTCAGAGTGAGTGGGTGGACAAGACTAGAACTCAGGGCCCCCGATCCCAGGGCTGGCCGCCTCTCAAAGATGTAGTCGTTGGGTCCTGCTCAGGGACATCCTCTCAGTACGCTGACTACAGGCCTCCTCCAATTTACTGGCTTAAACACTAACTTAACACTAAAATCGTGGAACTCGTGATGCCCGGAGTGGGATGGGCTCTCAGAAGCTGCTGAAGCCAAATCTCCTCATTTTGTTGAAGAAATGGAAACCCAGAGAGGGTTCTGGATGTTGGAATCTTGGGCCAGATTCAGACAAGGTGGCAAACCTTGCAACCAAGGCCTAGAAGGCCAAGAACCAACCACAAACCTAATCCCTGCTTTCCGGGTGCTCTAGGCCCGAAGGCGGCCCGAGACCGAAAGCCCAGGAGGTCGGGAGTCCCGAAGCCCCCGTTCCGATCGCTCCAACCCGCCGCACACAACCCGGGCTCTGCGGCCCGCCTCACGCCCCCGGGCCACCCGGCCGCCGCCTTACCTACGCCGGCCCTTCGTTTGTTATTGTGGCTGAGAGGGAGGGGAGAACCGCGACCGACGCTTCCCGCGGCCCCCACCGCCGCGACGCTTCCGCTTCCGCCGCTATTCGGGCACTTCCGGAGTGTTGTCATCCGGGGCTGAGCCCGCACCCCATGTCCATGTTGGGTGTGTTACACAGACGTTGATGCGCTGCGACCATGTTAAGAGTGGCGTCCCGGGATGGGCGGGGAAACAGTCCTTCTTTTCCGTGACGGCGTCGCCGCGCCGGAAGCGCTTAGAGTCTAACACCGGGGAATTAGTTGCGACTCTGCGATTTACAGCTGTTTTGCCTGAAAAACTTTATATTTAGTGGTCAGCTATTCAGGCTTCAGGACCAGAGGGCTGCTTCAAGTGCATGTTCCTCCGCTTAACTGACAGACCACGACAAACACTTCAGCGCTAAACCTCAGGTTTGTCAAGTGAAAATGGACATCGTTATGGTGCCTACATAACGAACCACTATAGAATTTAGTGGCTTAACACAATTTGTTACGATCTGTTATGATTCTGTGGGTTGCCTAGGCTCAGCTGGGCAGTTCTAGTTTGAGGTCTCCTATGCATTTGTAGTCAGATATCAGCTAAGACTATAGCTAACTTCAGGCTCAAATGGATGTTACATGGTTGGCAATTCAGGCTGGAAGCGTCCTAGGAGTGCCTACAGGTGACCGTTCCCTCTGGTTTGCGTTTCTCACAGCAAAACCCTGGATTCTGGAAGGAAGCACTTGGGTATGGAGTGCAGTTAGCTGTTCCAAGCATATAGGAGAAAGCTAAGGACCAAGACTTGTAATCTAGCCTTGCAAGTCCCAGAACTTAACTTCTGTCACATTCTGTTGATCAAGGAACCCACTAAACCAGCCCAGAGTCAAGGGGAAAAGAATAAGACTCCAACTCTTAATGGAAGGAGTAGCAAAAAATTTCTGGCCGTCTTTACCGCACTATATCGTTTGTTTATAAATTTTGGACGTATGTAAATTTTATTAGTACAGGTATCAAAAAGGAAGGCTGATAGCCCTACCAGTAAAAAGTCGAGTCTGCACATGAATGATTCTTTACATGATTTTTTAAAATTATGGTAAAGTATACATAATAAAGTTTATAATTTTAACCATTTTTAGATGTACAATTCATTGGTATTAAATATATTTACACTGTTGTGCAATTAAACCATCATCTACCTCCAGAACTTTTTAATCTTCCCAAACTGAAATTCTGTGCCCGCTAAACAATTCCCATTCTAACCCCATCTTTACCCTCCCCATTCCAGCCCCATTCTACTTTCTGTCTCTAGGTATCCCACATAAGTGGAATCATGCAATATTTGTCCTTTTGTTTTTGGCTTCATTCACTTATCATAATGTCTTCAAGTTCCACTCATGCTGTAGCATGTGTCAGAATTTCCTTCCTTTTTAGGGTTGAATAATAATCCATCCCACTAATCCATCAGTGGATATTTGGGATGTTTTTCCACCTCTTGACTATTGCTAGTAATGCTTCGTTGAACGTGAATGTAAAAATATCTCATCTAGATCTAGCTTTCCATTCTTTTGGATATATACCCAAAAGTGGGATTACTGGATTAATTCTAACATCTTTAATTTTTCCACAGGAGCTGTACCATTTTACATTCTCACCAAGAGCACACAAGGGTTTCCATCTTTTTTCACTTCCTTGCTCTCATTTGTTTTTTGTGAGTAGTGTTTGTTATCCACTTAGAACAGTGCCCGGCACACAGCAAAAACTCCACAAAAGGTTAGCTGTTATTATTTAATTGTTCAGAGGCCTCTTTTCCTATCTTCCTTCTCAACTATAGTTGCAATTTTAAGAACTGAAATCTCAGCATGTGATATTTCTGAAGTTCACTTTCAAAGCATCTTAATTTTTTCCAAGTTAAATAAGGAAGTTTTGTGAAAGCGTGTCGTATATATGTATACGCATAGAGAATTGCAGTTTCATAGCCAAGCACAAGGTAGTAAATTAGGCAAAACAAATAAACAAACAAAACAACAACACAACAACAAAAATGGAGGAGGAGGAGGAGAAAGAGAAGGAAGAAAAGGAGGAGAAAAACCTGCATAGGAGGCTTTTATAAACATGAGCTCTGAGTGAGCATTAGGCAACAAAGCCTCGCTTTTCATTTTTAATTTGGACCATAATTCAAAAGGTCAAGGTTATGTTACAAGAAAAGTGAAAAGATTAAGGATGAAACTTAGGAAACTCAACAAGCTGTCTTTAACAATTAACAATGTGTTTTCCCTGTCACCACATCTAATGCAGATCTTTTATCCTGATCTCTAGAAGTATGAGAGTAAAGTTACTTTTTAGGAAAAATGATCGTTAGAAAGGCCAAGAAATATTTACCATCAGCCAACATTTCCTAAAAGGCTATATGGAACCCAGGAATATGTTAGACACCAAGGCTATAGAGGTGATTAGGAAATAGTCTCCTCTCCTAGGCATGCTGGGAGATATCTACAAAGAACATTTCAGTGAAATTTGGGAAATCCTGGTGATTAGGAAATAGTCTCCTCTCCTAGGCATGCTGGAAGATATCATCTACAAAGAACATTTCAGTAAAATTTGGGAAATCCTGCTACAGTGGAATGTCAGGATGCCCAAGCATCCAGAAGGTGCCAAAATCAGTCCAGACTGCTTGCAGCTACACTTGAAATAATTGCAAACACCCTCTCAACTCACTTTTCTTTCCCTTATGGGCTTCTGTGTCACTACTTATTAACTGTGTCTCTCTGTCTCATCATCCTGCCTTTAGCTTCTTCCTTCCTCAAAGATTCTTATTTTTATTGTGTTTGCTTTGTGTTTGTTTTTGTTTTCATTCTTTTAACTAATTACAGTGTCACTCACCAATTATTTTAAATCTTTACATTTAATCCCTAAGAACTTGGTGAGGTAAATATCACTTGCCCCGTTTTATAAGTAATACAACTTAGGTTCAAAGAGGTTAAGTCTTTTGCTAAACATCATGCAGCTAGTAAATTGCAAAGAATCATTGTGAAATTTGAGCAATCTGGCTTCAAAACTTATATTCTTAATTATTAAATTATGCACTCATAATTATTTTTCTCCAAATGACAATTTGATTAATCTGCTTAAAGCATCATGAGAATTGTGTCACTAGCTCCTTTTTCCTTAGACTTTGAAACCTAAGGCATATGCTTGTAACTTGTTAACCAGATGTCCAAGGCCCAGTATGCATTGGTTGCAGCCTACCATTTCAATCTTATTTCCCTTCACGAACAGCATGTTCCAACTGCACACAGGACTCACCTTTTCCCTCACATACCCTGTAACTCTACTGCATTTGGCTGAGTGAACAAATTGCCCCTCCTGTAGGCAAAAAGTGAATCAACCTCATTTAGCCATTGCAAGGAAAGAAATGGAAGATGCTGGTGAACTGGGTCCATCTAGGTGTACCCTAGATGTACCCAACACTGGTACAAAAATGAATGGTCCTTAAATTCCAAAAGTAACAGGGAGAAAACAGTTTTCAAAAGCTGGTTGTTTTTTGAGCCTCGCATGGTTTATTCATTCATTTAATATTTCCTGAGTGCTTGCTCTAGGGCCCGGCATTCAACTAGGCGCAAGGAAATAATTGTGAGCAGAAGTCAATAATAGGTTTCTATCTTCAGTTTGGTAAGGGGAGGCAGACAATCAGATAACTATATGGTGAATCAATTCCTCAAAAATAAACAGATTGGGGAGAGGCACGCAGTTAAATTTTGTTGAAAGAAGGAATTAATGAATGAATGGATAAATCTTATTTACTCAATTTTTTTCTTTTAAGCACTTAAATTTAACAAACAAAAACTGTTTTTTAACAAACAAAACCTTTCCAAATAAGTGTTATAATTTTATTCAATTAATCATTTAAATATGGCAAACGACAACTTCTCAAAATGCCAATATTTAGTCTTAATAAAATTCTTATTCTTTCAACTTAAAATTCTATGTTTAAATCAATTAAAAATTTCAAATCAGAACTATAAGATTGATCACATTCCTTATCATGCTATATTTTTAAAAAATACGACATTTTAAATGACATAGCCTTTCTTAACACAAAATAATATAGTTGTGATTTAATCCTCATTTCTATGCTTAAATTTAATTTTGGGGGGTTATAAGACACTTAATCACTTAAAAAGTCATTCTATTTCCCATATCTGGGGATTGCAGTTGCGCACTGATTAGAGAGGTGTTTGGCTGGACCCTGGGTTTCCCTTCCCACCTCTAATCTTTTCCTTTTGGCTCCTGAGCTATAAGGACATAGGGCTTAGGTGGTAGCAGCCATTATTATGTAGACGGAATCTTTGTGGGAGATGAGAAAACCAGCATTTAATGAAATTCATAGACTAACGAGGGCAGAGATGAAGATAAGACTCCTGTTGCTTAAGTCTATGGATTCTGCTGTGCTTGAATTAAGACCCACCCTGGCTCTTCCTAATTGCATGAATTCACATATTTCTTGTTTGGTCTAAGCTAAGTTTCAGTTAAATTTTCATCATTCTTAACCAAAAGAATTCTGATGTATTTCTTATGCTGTATTAGCCATTATTCTCCTCTATTATTACAAACCTTCAGAAAACATTTGTTACCCCCAAATAACCTTGTGAGTGCTTGAGGAATGAAGGACTATGAGGAGGGTCTAACATACACCAAAGTGATGGTGAGTGAGGCATCAGAATCAGAAGGTGAAATGAGGGGCTGATGGAGAACTCTGCAAAATTAGGGATTCGGAGCAAGTAGTAACCACGAGAACATAAATGCTCTGGGGTCCTCTGAAATTGGGAGGACACCATACTTTCCACAGTTTGTGGAATGGAAAGTCAAATAATTTTGTATTGTTATGAAAATGTGTTTTCCAAGAAGCTTAGATCTCTGGGTGAATCGCCTTGCTTTCTACCGAGATAGTAAAGTATTTCAGTTCCCAGGTATATCATAATTTATTATGATACAAATAGGCTAAATAGTTAACTGTAGTAAAGGCAGAAAAATAGCAGGAGATTGAGCTTTGGAGCTTGAGATTGAGGACCACCTCAGACTCAGGGGAGGGAGATATAACATCCAGAAAAGATAGTGCCAAAGCATCTGTTGT